TTGTTTAAAGCAAATGCAAGTGATATCAGAGGTGGAATCTGAGTGGTCAACAGGAGGGAATTAGAATGGAATTAGAAGAGGTATAACTTGTAATAGCCACCAGCGGCGCTACGATCGAGCCACGAAATTCCAGCCTATTTGGGCAAAAGTGGAAACTGGATTTTAGAGTCAGTTAACTCCCTTGCCTTGGGAACATGCTGTTTCCACTGTACATTGTTTTAGAGTGAGTGAGTGAATGAGTGAGTTGGGCTAAACGCCGCTTTTTACAGTATTCCAGTTATATCACGGCGTGTCAGCTCAATGTGGGAGGAAAGCCCGAAGTGATGCAGGTCTCAGACGTTTACCACTTCGGTGAAACCCATGAGCACGGGTATGGTGCTGACAAACCTAGAAACATAATCGGGGTGAACCGTGATTTGAACCCACAATCATAGGTTTCTGGCGTGCCCAAGGAATGCAACTCTGCACAGCGAATTGCAGCGGCTTAGACGACTGGGCCACCAGTGACCCCCATTGCTTTAGAAGATTGCTGAGATAAGGTAAATATTGGGTTAAACAAAAATAGTAACGTGCACATACTATGAATCGTCAAAGGTATTTGAAGTAATTTGTCTATGTCAATGGCATAAAAGGTCTGGTTTGGTCCAAAATGAGCAGACTTGTGGCAAAATAATAGATCCAGCCTCAATTTGACACCCCAATTCTTCAATGATATTTGCTGCAGATTTTGGGTCAAATATTGATCTATGAGCAGGTAATATATGTTTAAAATTTCCCTGGTCATATCCAGACAGCTTACATAGTGGCCCATTGACGATTCAGTCTGGTTCTAATGTTTTTTAAGCTTTTAAGCAACTTGAGAAACCCCATATCAAATAATCCCCACTGGTCTCACCATCGACTTCATCCAGGAGAAACTCATTTGACGTCAAGTCCAGTTCTCCCAGATTGAGATGAACCTCTTCAATACCCTGCAACATATATGATCATGATAATGGCGATGTAGCATTGCAGCTCCAGCATTTTCCAAAATATTGACAATGAACACTTCTTTAGTGTTTTTAACAACGTTAACTTATCAGCATGTTTAACTTCCTCATTATGTTATCTTTGTACATAAATCCTACCTTGAAATTGAAAATTTGCTGAACATATAATTTCAATTTTATGAAAACTGAATATATTTGTTGCCAGAACTGATGTATTCTGTTGGCTTGTGGTAATACAACCAGATTACAACAGCTCATGACCAACCTTACTACTTCTATGGTGGTGCCAAATTAGTCTGTAAAAACGTATTTTAGAGGGAAAATGACACAGATTATAAGCAATGACTGAACTAAACATGCATTATCTTGTTTACAAACTAGTTAGCTACACACGAGGCATGTTATGTATTCTAAATATTTTTTTAACAAGGTGCTCATATGTATTCTTTTTATGATTTTGCTCATCATTTATTATAATAAAAACGAGCAAAAAGTCAAATCATCATGTGCACGCTGTGATGTGCCAGTGAGCTCAGAGGGAAGCACATGAGATTGAGAACTTCATCATGGTAAAGTGTTTATGCACTGGTTAATGTATTTAATGACAAGATATACTTGTCCCACTTCTCAGAAGAGGTCACTTAACGGCTGCTTAATTCGTCTCTAGCGAGACCTGAGACGATCTAACTTTTTTTTTTTAAGGAGAAAGAAACTGTATACACTACCCAACACAGTGCAAACTGTAAATTCGGTTTTCACTCTCGCCGATAAATACCATTACTTTATTTAGGTCAAGCAAATTTGAATTAAGAACAAACAAAATAGAATCGTCTCAAAAACTGTATTGCTAGACAAATTTATATAACCATTAATTAAAGGATTACCACTTCTTCTCCAATGCCAATAATACCATCGCTAGTCTTCGTGTCATCTGCTATGACTGCCGACATTTTGAGAAGGCGGAAGTTGTCACTCGTCTTCCACAGTTATCGCCCTTCTACTTCCTTTTCCGCTAAGCCTCCAACATGTCGGTGAGTTGTGGAAGCGACTCCAGATTATAATCCACTCATCCATGGATATATATGATATTTATGAAAAATAAAACCCATCAGAATCAAACATTGATATGTTGACTTGCCATATTTGACACGATTTTAATTTTAAAAAATTGATTTCTGTGTTACTGTGACATATTGTTTTACGGGTAGTTGCACTTCTGATCGTCTGATATTTCACAAGGCTTGCTATTTATATTTTAGGAAGCTGTAACCAATACTGTGTGGCGATATATATGAACCATTGCCCAGATCTTTGAAATATATCAACTCTTTATTTGGCAATTCTAGGCAACATATCAAGCTGAAGTATCCATTTCAACTTTATCTCGGAACGTGACTTGATGGGGTTCGATTTGTTTGCGTGTTTATTGGATATTTGTATAAACAGGATATTTCTTTTCAGGGGTCTCTGGTTATACCCGAGAAGTTCCAGCACATCTTGCGTGTGATGAACACCAACATTGATGGACGCACAAAGATTATGTTCGCCCTTACAGCAATTAAGGTGTGTACAGTACTTTCTTGCATATGTAGATTATTTGTTCACTAGTATGGACGAATATTAATTAAAGAAATTCTGAAGCATTGAGGAAATATAGCCCTCAAATGCTAATAGTCACTGAAGACTACCATCATTGTATTTTTATCACAACTTAGTACTTTGGGTCCAGAGTGATTTTCACTAAAGACTTGGTGAAACTTGTTAACATTATTTGATTTCATTTCAGGGTATGGGTCGTAGATTCTCCAACGTTGTGTTGAAGAAGGCAAACATCGACCTTACTAAACGTGCAGGAGAGCTTTCTGATGAGGAGGTATGATTGAACATCTACGCACAGGTTATATTTAAAATATAATAAATGACATAACATGTTTGTATGCTGTTGTTTCACCAGTGTTGAATGGATGACCTCACATTACCAAATCAATTGGAATGCAGTTGTATTAACTTTGATTTTAAGAGAGCTACAATGATGAATATACCCTCTTGGGTGGATGAAAACCAGTGATTTCAATCTTTCACTCGCCGAACTGAGTAGCTCTAAATTTCTGCTTGATAGTTATGTTCAATTCAATAGATAATGTAAAAATGGGGCATCTTCCTTTTTTTGTTTCTTTTATCAATGGAATACAAGTCACCTCAACCATGTCAACAAAGCGATCACATTAGTTATAACTATATTTACATGAAATAGAAACTTTTGTAGTCCTATTTGGAATTTTACTGCTTCAGACTTGTGGCCGAATATCGGCCCGAGCAGGTCTAGATAAAACTCTGTTCAGGCTCGCTGACTTGGTTGCTTACACTGGCATATCCCAAATGCATGGATCGAGGTCCATGTCAATCACTGGATTGTCTGGTCCAGACTGTTATTTACAGACCACCATCATATAGCTGAAACGTTACTCTAATATAGCTGAGTGAGGCGTTACAAAACAAACAAAACATTGACTACCTGCACTTTCTTCACATTCATGTTTCGCAGATGCTTGATACTTGGCTGTTTGTTGTAGGTGGATAGGGTGATCACAGTGATGACGAACCCCCGCCAGTACAAGATCCCAGATTGGTTTCTCAACAGACAGAAGGATGTGAAGGATGGCAAGTTCAACCAGGTCCTGGCCAACATGCTCGACAACAAACTTCGTGAGGATTTGGAGAGATTGAAGAAGATCAGGAACCACCGAGGTCTCCGTCACTACTGGGGGTGAGTACATGGACCAGCCCAGGGGAGCAAGTCCCTTGCAAGGATTCTGGGCAGAAAAAGCCTCCAGTACTCCAGTCTTGTCATAGGAGCAGGGGGTGTTCGGGTAGCCTAGTGAGTAAAGCGTTTGCTCGTCATGTTGAAGACCCAGGTTCAATTCCTGACATGGGTACAACGTGTGAAGCCCATTTCTGGTGTCCTTGGCCATGACATTGCTAGAATATTGCTAAGCTGCGTAAAATCAAACTCACTCAGTCATAGGAGCAGATTCAAATAGGCTTCATGAGAATGTTGCAACCCATGCTTGCCGTAAAAGGCGACCAACGGGATCAGGTGATCAGACTCGCTGACTTGGTTCATGCATGTCATCATGTCATATAGCTGGAACATTGCTAAGTGCAGCGTTAAACAACAATTCTACCATGAATTTGGAATTTACTCGATTCTGATTGGTCAATCAGAGGCTATTAAATCACAATAAACCCCCTCTGATTGAAACAGCTGGTTTGACGGCCGCATCACCGCGGAAGCTAATATTCACAGAATAGTACTATTTTCAGTCATTGTCGCTAGGCATATTTAAATAATTATATCTACAATTACAGGTTACGAAATGCACAGATGCGGTTACTACAATATTCAAAGGATGTGTGGCAATACATTACGTGCAGAAAAACACGACAGAAATTAACAAAGGGAATGTATTTACGTTTTGGAGACAACAGAGAGCTTGGAATTTTGGCGCTTTTCTATATACGACTTAGACGTCATATTTTTTGCGTCACAATGAGCGATATGACGTCATAATCGTGATGCGCGATGTGGAGCGAAAGCCTTGCAAAGCTTTCTTTGTTTTCTTTAGGGATGCCCACCTCATGTTAGCTTACCAAGTTGCTGTGCTTATATGCTTTCAATGCCTGTCATATGTTCGAGTGAAGTATAACGGTGTAAACAAACTGCTTGAGTATATACAGCACCATATTTTGTTCGGTGATTCCGTAATTAAGATCGATAATCCACTCAAGACACTGAACTGAACCCATGCCGCTTCACTCAGTATATTTGCTAACACCAAAGAGTTCGCGTTTTATTTAGTCATGGTAGAATGGAGATAAACATACTGTGTTTTCAATGTAGAGCTAGGTTACCTGTAGATTTAACCGCGCTAAATTTAACATTTGAAACCTCACGCTGCGCGTTCGGTTCCAAATTCAATTTAGCGGGGTTAAATCTACAGGTAACCTAGCTCTACATTGAAAACACAGTATGTTTATCTCCTAAACAAATCATGAGAATGTTGAGTGCAAGTACCTTGTGAGGATTCCCAACAATGTGTCAGCTGGCTGTTGTGGTCTGTGATTGATTATTCCTGAGCTTCCAGATGTTGGTACATTTGCATTCAGTACTTCAGCCACTGGTCCAATGCCAAGCTCTTGTAACATTCTTTCAAAGTAGTAGTTAGAGATGTCATTGTAAATAGTGATGTCGACATATCTCTTAATATTTAATCTCGATACCATATTGATAGTGAATTAATAATTCACTGCCATAGAATTGTTTACATTTATCAGTTTATTGAGATTGCCATAGATAAGATGGACAGTGATAAGGCAGAAATTTCAAGTTTAAAAATTTGATGGATCAGCCTGGTTCACATTTAGCATTAAATTGCAGGTTTACACAGGTGATATTTATCTTTTGGTACACATGCAGGTTAATTCATCTTTTTCAATATATCTTGATGCTGAGTCAACATCGATACCAAAATGTCAAATCGATGACACCCTCTGGTAGCAATAAGCTCGGTTGATGATAGGTCATATGTTCAAACCAAAATATAATGAAAACCATTATCCTTGTTTGACAGCACTATGCTCCTAAGACATCTTTCACAGTGTATGCCCTTACAATGTATGTGTGCAATAAGTCGGTCAGTGAGTTGTAACCATGGTAACTGAATCTGTTTTATGCTATATTTTGGAAATGTTCACACATAATTTTTTCAATTCAGCTTTCTGATTTTTGTAATAAGTGCTAGTAAATATGCCTTATAAAATGTATCTCTGCAATGATGAACATACCCTCTGGGTGGATGACATTCTGTGATTTCAATCTTTCACTCGCCGAACTGAGCAGAGGTACGTTTTAGGAAGTATTTTGTGAAAGTAAGATCGGTTAATAGTTCGATTATATTTTTATCTGCACATTTGTGTCATCATTTTACAGCCCTAAATTCATTTTTTTTTTTTTCGGGCTCCAAACAAGAATATTTAAGGAGCCAAAAGATATCTTAAACGGATATTGTCACCAGTTATTTTGAGTTATTGGTAACCAAGTGGTGTGCAGTAGTGCCTCATAATGACATCCATATATTCTCTTCCTTATGTGTATCACTTCTAAATGCCTTTCAAAGACCTTTTCATCACAATGAGTGTGAAGACCCACTGTAATGTTACACAAAATGGAATTAGTGTGTTTTAATATCTCCAAATACTTAGAAGCAAAATAACTTTTGGCATCAACAAAATAAAACGTTGCTATTTTAGAATTTTCTTGGATTGACCTACAGATTGCTCTGATTGGAATAGCCTTGTGATTAAAGTTTAGTTAATATGTGAGCGTTACTCTGCCATGATGAACACACCCTCTGGGTGGATGACATTCTGTGATTTCAATCTTTCACTCGCCGAACTGAGCAGACGTCAACAGATAACCCATGTTGGCAAGGTTCTCTATTAGATCTGGGTTATGGAGAAACAAATTCCTTTTTGTTGTTCCCAATGAATGAAGTTTCATACAGGCTTTGGTCATCTGCAATAATTTATTTGATAATTTATTTGATACTTCAGTCAAATCAATGATTAATATTTTTGTTTCCACAAGATACAGAAACATGTTTTAATTACGTGCAGTGTCCGAAATAGCTGTCTGTCTTCCATCCCGTGGCTGGTAACACTTTTGTCAGGATAGGTGAAATGTATTCCTACCTGCCCGAGTGTTGAGAAGGAAATTTCATTGCTATGCTACACTGACAGTGACAGTTTTGAATCTGACATTGTGTGAGAGCGGAACAACCTTTGCGGTTATAAACATTGATAAAGCTGTAAATTTCAAAGGCAGGTTACAGTTTTGAGTCAGCAGCCCGCCTTGCTTCTTGAAGTCACAAGATTTATAATGTAATAAGCTGTCATGATGAACACACCCTCTGGGTGGATGACATTCTGTGATTTCAATCTTTCACTCGCCGAACTGAGCAGCATTGTGTGTAATTTCAGAACACCCCTTCGCACTAGAACTGTTTAGGTTTGAAGTAGTCAAGTATCAAATGGTCGAGTTGCAACATCTGGATTACCCAGTGTATTATTTTATGTTTGTTCATGAGATGTTAAACATGCTAAGTACATGGTTATATTCAGAAATATGCCTGAACAGGATTAAGAGATAGCTTCATTACTATTTTCAGGATAATTTTGATTATGGAATCGGCATCTTTTACCACACTGCACAAACTGTTGTGTTCTGTATATTTTGGGTTTGCAAAGTCGGCCAATACAATAAACAGTTAGAACTAGATATGTTGGTAGTGTCCTGGCGCCAGATGAATGTTCCTTAGATGTTTTGTAGATTGAGCTGTCCAACAAAAGTTGACAGTGTTACGCTGCCATGATGAACACACCCTCTGGGTGGATGACATTCTGTGATTTCAATCTTTCACTCGCCGAACTGAGCAGCTGATTGAGAAATAATTGGAAAGTTCTGTTCCTTCCATCGACAACATCTGTAGATGTATTCTGACACTTTATTTTCAAAACAACTTTTTATGAAAATCTTGTCTTAAGTTGTTGGATAATTTGGCATCTTGAAACAACCCCAATATATAATCTGGCTCTGTTGTGGTAAGATTGAGTTGTCTCAGGAGTAGGAACTAGTAAACGTTAGCTGTATTTTGTCTTCATTTAAGATGCTCACATGAAGAGAAGAATTACTTTGTTTAGGGTGACATTTCCAAGTTATGCCTGGGTGTACAGTAAGACTGGGACAGGCATCACTGGGCGACAGCTTTAACCGTCATAACGACTATACTTTAGAAGACATACAGAACTTGTAACTATGGATTTAGGAAACATGACGCACTCATTGCATGCTTGAGGTCAGCTGTGGATTGAGCTTTACTTTTAATTATGCTGCCATGATGAACATACCCTCTGGGTGGATGACATTCTGTGATTTCAATCTTTCACTCGCCGAACTGAGCAGCATTGTGTGTAATTTCAGAACACCCCTTCGCACTAGAACTGTTCCTGTTTGAAGTAGTCAAGTATCAAATGGTCGAGTTGCAACATCTGGATTACCCAGTGTATTATTTTATGTTTGTTCATGAGATGTTAAACATGCTAAGTACATGGTTATATTCAGAAATATGCCTGAACAGGATTAAGAGATAGCTTCATTACTGTTTTCAGGATAATTTTGATTATGGAATTAGCATCTTTTACCACACTGCACAAACTGTTGTGTTCTGTATATTTGGGGTTTGCAAAGTAGGTCAATACATTAAACTGGATATGTTGGTAATGTCCTGGCACCAGATGAATGTTCCTTAGATATTTTGAAGATCGAGCTGTGCAACAAAAAGTGACAGTGTTACGCTGCCATGATGAACACACCCTCTGGGTGGATGACATTCTGTGATTTCAATCTTTCACTCGCCGAACTGAGCAGCTGATTGAGAAATAATTGGAAAGTTATATTCCTCCCAACTGTAGATGTACAACTTTCTTTTTTATGAAAATCTTGTCTTAAATTGTTTGTTTGGGCATCTTGAAACAACACATTAATATAATCTGGCTCTGTTTTTGTAAGATTGAGTTGTCTCAGGAGTAGGAAATAGTTAACGTTAGCTGTATTTTGTCTTCATTTAAGATGCTCACATGAAGAGAAGAATTACTTTGTTTAGGGTGACATTTCCAAGTTATGCCTGGATGAAGAGTAAGACTGGGACGGGCTTCACTGGGCGACAGCTTTGACCGTCATAATGACTATACTTTAAAAGACATACAGAAGTTGTAACAATAGATTTCGGATTGCATGCTTGAGGTCAGCTGTGGATTGAGCTTTAACTTTAATTATGCTGCCATGATGAACACACCCTCTGGGTGGATGACATTCTGTGATTTCAATCTTTCACTCGCCGAACTGAGCAGCATTGTGTGTAATTTCAGAATACCCCTTCGCACTAGAACTGTTCCTGTTTGAAGTAGTCAAGTATCAAATGGTCGAGTTGCAACATCTCGATTACCCAGTGTATTATTTTGTGTTGTTTGTTCATGAGGTGTTAAACATGCTAAGTACATGGTTATAATCAGAAATATGCCTGAACAGGATTAAGAGATAGCTTCATTACTGTTTTCGGGATAATTTTGATTATGGAATTAGCATCTTTTACCACACTGCACAAACTGTTGTGTTCTGTATATTTGGGGTTTGCAAAGTAGGTCAATACATTAAACTGGATATGTTGGTAATGTCCTGGCACCAGATGAATGTTCCTTAGATATTTTGTAGATCGAGCTGTGCAACAAAAAGTGACAGTGTTACGCTGCCATGATGAACACACCCTCTGGGTGGATGACATTCTGTGATTTCAATCTTTCACTCGCCGAACTGAGCAGCTGATTGAGAAATAATTGGAAAGTTATATTCCTCCCATCTGTAGATGTACAACTTTCTTTTTTATGAAAATCTTGTCTTAAATTGTTTGTTTGGGCATCTTGAAACAACACATTAATATAATCTGGCTCTGTTTTTGTAAGATTGAGTTGTCTCAGGAGTAGGAAATAGTTAACGTCAGCTGTATTTTGTCTTCATTTAAGATGCTCACATGAAGAGAAGAATTATTATTGCTAAGGGTGACATTTCCAAGTTGTGCCTGGGTGTACAGTAAGACTGGGACGGGCATCATTGGGCGACAGCTTTAACCGTCATGACGACTATACTTAATGGATTGAGCTTTAACTTTAATTATGCTGCCATGATGAACATACCCTCTGGGTGGATGACACTCTGTGATTTCAATCTTTCACTCGCCGAACTGAGCAGCATTGTGTGTAATTTCAGAACACCCATTCGCACTAGAACTGTTCCTGTTTGAAGTAGTCAAGTATCTAATGGTCGAGTTGCAACATCTCGATTACCCAGTGTATTATTTTATGTTGTTTGTTCATGAGGTGTTAAACATGCTAAATACATGGTTATATTCAGAAATATGCCTGAACAGGATTAAGAGATAGCTTCATTACTGTTTTCAGGATATGTTGTGTTCTGTATATTTGGGGTTTGCAAAGTAGGTCAATACATTAAACTAGATATGTTGGTAATGTCCTAGCACCAGATGAATGTTCCTTAGTTGTTTTGTAGATTGAGCTGTCCAACAATAAGTGACAGTGTTACGCTGCCATGATGAACACACCCTCTGGGTGGATGACATTCTGTGATTTCAATCTTTCACTCGCCGAACTGAGCAGCTTTGTGTACAGAGATAGAAAGTCCTACTGGGCCAAATCGGCCATTTTCTTTTTAGAGTGCCCTGATGGCTACCATTGTGTATTTTCAGTCATAAATGTTGATTGCATGTAGATTTAGGGACATGATGATGTGTTTGAGCATTTGTAGATGGGTTTATTACATACGCTGTCCAATGTCGATGTTGAGTCTAGATGTGACAGAAATGTCATGTTAAAAGTGAAAAATGATCTTAATGAAAATTGAAAATGTAAAAAAATGTTGCTGCAATGATGAACATACCCTTTGGGTGGATGATATTCTGTGATTTCAATCTTTCACTCGCCGAACTGAGCAGCATTTTTCAGCCTGAAGTAAAGCACTGCTCCTGATGATTAAATGTAACGCTGGGCACGGTTGGCCCAGTTGTGTAAGGGGCCACAAATCTGTGTACAGGTGTGCACCCTTAGGCTTGCCAGAAACTGGTGATCATTGGTTCAAATCCCAGATATGCCAATTGTTTCTTGGTTTGTTTGTCAGAATGTTGGTTTCACCAAAGCGGTAAACGTCTAAGACCTGCATCACTGCTGGCTTTCCACTCGCATCAAGCTGACACTGAATTGTAGCTTATTAAAGCTGTTCAAAGCAGAATTAAACATGCTCGCTCACTCTCAGATGTGATGAAATGCAGTTTGATAATTGAATGGATAATGCCTTGCGATGTGGGGTAGCTTAATGGTTGGGGCTAGTAATTGAAATGACCACTCTCATATGACCCTCAAATAGTTTACACAGTATTATGCTGCTATGATGAACATACCCTCTGGGTGGATGATAATCTGTGATTTCAATCTTTCACTCGCCGAACTGAGCAGCTTAATAAATATGTGAAGTTGTAGAGATTTGTGTAACAAAGTTAACTGCATATAGAAAAGTAGGTGTAAAAATTGTTCCCAGTACAAAATGGAATTCTAAGGGCATAGTATTTACGGATCGGGGATAGTTTTTAAGTCCCAGACTCAGATTTTGAAAGGGGATTCCTGACTTGGTGAATAAAATTCTCAAGTTCCTTGACAGCGGTGTAAAGGGTGCTTGAATCTCACATCCCACGTCCATGTGTCATTGTAAACTTCTTGATTCCTGGCTGGAAGGGTGTCCCAGTGTTTCACTGCAGAGTTACTCCCCTTGCCATCTGCTGGTTCATCCCATATGTGGTCCTTGGTCTGTCTGCGTCACATCTACGATACTAGTGAAAAGTTGTGTGACATGGGTGTTATAAGCTGCAATGATGAACACACCCTCTGGGTGGATGACATTCTGTGATTTCAATCTTTCACTCGCCGAACTGAGCAGCTTCGTGTGCAGAGATAGGAATATCCACTACCCTGAGCCAAATCCGCCATTTGTTAGAGTATCTGATATCTACCACTGTGTTTTTCCAGAATTCCCCTTATTGTTTTCATTGGGATGTATCCAAATGGCTGAATATATAAACTGAAGAAAGAAAATAATATATATTGCATCCTGAAGGACACAAAATAATATTCATTGTACCATATTCTTGACAAGAAATGTAAAGGTCCCGTACTTCTTGTAAATCTTACAGTACAGTACACTACACCATTTCATTACTATGTACAGGACCCTCATATTTCCTGTAAGGACCCTTGAAATCAATTATTGGGGGTCCCCTTGAACCCTAGTTTGGTAGGCCATGATAAAACCATGCCCTGACCTTCATTACTAAGAATCTGATCCGAATGACATAACAACTGAGTAACCTTTTCAATAAAGTTCTCATGTAGGACAAAATGCAGCATTAGAACTAGTCATTGCCAAACTGCCAATGGTAAAGGTGTTATAAGGACAAGTAGAAATGTGCCCTTTTTAAGGGTTTTGACATATGTTACCATTATAAGGACCAGTGGATGAAAACTGTTAGTTTCTAACCCTGAAATGTGCGGATATCATTAAGCACAAGCTGCCATGATGAACACACCCTCTGGGTGGATGACATTCTGTGATTTCAATCTTTCACTCGCCGAACTGAGCAGCATTGTGCAACTTGTAATCTAGTTTTGTTCTGAATGTAACAAAGAGTTACCTAGATTACCAGGAAATATTTTTGTTGCTTTTCTATTACCAGTATATTTGTGTTGCCAGTGATTCAGTGATACGTTTGTGTGTTTCAGGTTGAGGGTCAGAGGTCAGCACACAAAGACCACTGGACGTCGTGGAAGGACCGTTGGTGTGGCCAAGAAGAAGTAAATCTCCGCAGCTCTGTAAATGTCAAAATAAACAAGAAAAACTCCATGATTTTTTTGTAAATTCTTTTTAAAATACCCTGGGTTAGAATTGGTCCCAGAAACCCATGCTGGTCTAGTCGATGGATAATCACTGGATTGTCTGATCCAGACTGGATTATATGATATCATTGAGCTGGAATATTGCTGAGCAGCTTTAAAGCAAGAAACAAATAAGTTTGTATATATTCAAGACTTCCCAAATATCCTAGTCTGCTGTGCCTGTCTGCCCAGAGAGCAGAATGTCAGGTTCTATCCCTGGTCTCGTCTTACCAAAGGACATTACAAGACGGTAGTTGTTACCCTGCCTGGTGCTCAGAGTTAATTGGAAAAATCAAGGACTGGTCAGCATGGAGTCAGATACAATGACGCATAAGACTGCACGATATTATTGGTATACTGCTTTTCAAATGATATGTATTGCAGTATTGTTTGTGTGTTCCAGTATTTTGGGTAAAACAAATATTATAACTTTTGTTATTATTTGTGTCGTTTCCCCTAATATCTACACAGAAATTTTAATTCATTTGCGAATGATACCTCAATTCGAAATTGAAAGGGATTTTTCTCACATTGTCTCACTTGTATCCAAAGTGGTGGTGACTTGCCATGCTGAGTAATCATTACTTTAGTTTGTTGGGGTGGTCGGGTAGCCTAGTGGTTAAAGCGTTCACTCGTCACACTGAAGACCCAGGTTTGATTCCTGACATGGGAACAATGTGTGAAGCCCATTTCTGGTGTCCCCCGTCCTGATATTGCTTGTATTTTTGCTAAAAGCGGCGTAAAACCACTCACTCACTCACTCACTCACTTTAGTTTGTAGAAAATAGGATGTACTACAAACAGTGTAAATCACTGTAAAACACTTTACCTCCTAATATATCGCATTATCATAAAATGGGTAGGTTTCTCGGCAGGATAAAGCCAACGGGGAAAAAAAACGATATCCGTTGGGGTCATATGCGGATAGAGATGCAAATATCAAAGGTCAAGTAGGGACTACTTTCACTGTTTATAAACAAACATGGCGTCGCACTCGCCATTCGGCGATCGAGTCAGAATTAACCATCGGGAATCTGGATTAACTTCAGCGATAATTGCTATCATTATCAAAAGAACAGTCTAATATACTGAAAATCTGTGTCTCACTGTGACGCAGCTAAGGCATTTTATAAGTTTTGGCAACTTTGGAGATATAAATTTCGAAACAATTTGGCGAGGGCACGAGGCCTTGCCAAGCAGGATCAGTAGCCATATCTGTGCTTGTAGACCTCTGCGGCTTGAAACCTTCTCCACAAATTAAAATAGTTGGATTTGACGGGAATATGTTTGAATTGTTACCTTGTTTCGTTTTGTCGCTGTGTGTACATCTGAGTACACTTCTTATCGTTATGACAGGAAAGACCGACTGTCAACAACGTCTGACCGTGGCCGTGACATCTCATAGACTAGGGTTAGAGTAGCTTCCCTTTGACAAAGGGCAGTTACTCTAGCGGACAGACCGATGGATTGCCGCGAAATGCAATTAAAAACAATTGTTGTTTTGCGTATATGTTGCTTCGCCACTGTATAAGAAACAGATTTCAGTTGGAACTATATTGGCTACTGTCACTGTCCGACTGACACATCACTTACCCTGTGACGTAATAAATATTAATGCGCGCATTTCAGGAAAACTCGCAATGTTTCGGTAATATTTGTGAGAGAGGGAAAGCAATTTTGAAGCACAGAATTAAAGAATGACATTATATGATAAAGAGGTTATCACGCCAAGGCTCACTAAATACAATGTTTATTCCTAATGCAGGATATTTACCATCCCCAAATACACTCGCGTGATAACCTCTATATTTATTATTTTGGCCGATACACAGCTCTAATGACGTAGTTTAACAAGGATACCCTGCTTAGACATGTATGCTCAATGGGCTAGAACCAAGTCCAGATTCCCAACAGGAACACCACTGTTACATGCATCACTTGCCTACCACAATAGACTGACATGTCTTGAGGTTACTGTAAATCCTGTACATAATCCCATCCAATCAGAGCGTTGCTTCCCAGATCATGAAAATGACAGTCGGAATGTTATTTCTAATCATGCAACCTCGAAAACTTTAACAGGGGGTATTCCTAACAATAGTTACAGGCTTAACTACTGAATCCATACAATCTAGAAAATCTATTAGCCATTCCAGAATGATTTTTGTTCAGGTTTTAAAATTTTAATCAAGAATTTGTCAAAATTTGTTTCAAAGTGTAGTCGCCAATTTGAAATCAGTGCCGCAAAGCACGAGAATGCAGCCTTCTTATTGGCTTATGTCGACTTCTTGTCAGTCATATCGTTGGTTGGTCAAAGTTTGCGCAATGTCGGCCTGACGTGACCTGTAATGGGATGTCCACAGATCTTTCTTTGGCTGTAGCAAGAACTAAGATCTGATTTAAATGAGATTGAAACGGCACTAAACTCAATCACGATTTTGATCATGTCTGTCTTATTATTTCAGGTCTCTTTATTAATTTCTGGGTGACATTCTGCCTTTTTCTTATTTTGAAAATGATATTTGTCATGGAAACAGTTGCAAATAAAAATGGTTGCATATACATTTCACTTATACATATACACACAGGTCTTCAAAACAAGTTATATGACTGAATACTCCATAGGGATATCAGATTTCAATGTCACAGCATCGTATGCACAGCCACATAGGGAAACTTAAACTTTTTTTTTAATAGTAATTAACAAGTCATCAAAGTCAAACTTGTTGCCATGGAAACAGGAAATTGAAAAAAAAAGGATCCTAAATAGCAAACGGCCACACTTCAGCCCCTGATTACTACATCTACCAAGTTTGGATGAAAAATGTTGAATAGTTTTTTAGTTCTGATCCGGAAGCAACATCTACCTCCATTTCAGTTAAGTCTTACCTTGTTTCCTTGGAAATAAGGGGAAAAGGAAAATTTGAAAAATCTTTAAATAGCAAAAGGCACCACTGCAGTTCCTGGTTAATACAAGTTTGGATGAAAAGTCTTTCACAGTTCTCAAGTTATGCTGCAGAAAAGAAATACAGACGGACAGACCAGATGATTACTTCACTTGGCAGGGGATAATAATTACTTGGTAAAAATATGCCCCTTTGAAGCTGTTTTCTGAACCATGCAGAAGAAAATTCAGTTTTTTTAGGGAGCGCTCATCTACTGGTAATAGAGGATAATTTGAACCAACTCACAAAACGTGGGAGACAAGTTGGATATGCACAGAACCTGGACAAACATCTTGGTTGCTTACAGGTATAGAGGGAGTACTCATGTTGTGCAAGTTATAACGATGAAATTGACTACTCTCCTGTCGACACATGTTGCTTATAAGGCTATTAAGAGGTCAGTGTGACAAGTCGATACCAGATTTCTCTAAAAGTTGTTTGATAGAAGATAATTATAAACAAACAGCATGCTGAAACCCCATAAACCATGACGTGGGATGATTTAAGGACTACGTCATGGAGTCAACTATCACAATGTTAAAGTCTCAACCTTCACAATCATTTGATGAATGACTTGACACTATTCATTATTGCTCTCTGGGTTAAAAAAAGTATTCCATTTGCACAGCAAGTGAGTGAGTGAGTGGGTTTGGTTTAACGCCGCTTTTAACAGTCTTCCAGTCATATCACGGCGTGTCAGCTTAATGTGGGAGGAAATCCCAAAGTGATGCAGGTCTTAGACGTTTACCATTTCGGTGAAACCCACGAGCATCGGTATGGTGCTGACAAACCTAGAAACATAATCGGGGCGAACCGGGATTCGAACCCACAATCACAGGTTTCTGGCGTGCCCAAGGGATGTAACCCTGCACAGCTAATCGCGGCGCCTTAGACGGCTGGGCCCCCTGCCTGTGTGTTATTGAACTCGCCACTGGAACTCGTTGTTAGCCAAAACAGGACACACACATATCGATCGTATTAATTACACGATGGTACGTGCCAGTGGGCGGACCTCATTCAGAGTCATATTGGGTCACTTGTCAGGTTGGGGCACTAAACACAGCAAATACCTTACAATTATTTCTTTTTCTCTAACTTGGCAAATGATTCAGCCATGTGCTCTAGCTGTGAAGGCTTCAAATCAACATATAAATACTCTGTGTGTTGTGTGGAAAGTATGTTCATTGCCGGAAACATGTTTACGACTTTGACCTTGGACTCTGTAGTCGGTTGTCCTGTACCCAAGCATCAGGATTAAACAATTCAAAGGGTACTTACTGGTCTATAACACAACCAACCCTATTTGACCTTGACTTGAATACCACTGACCTTTGATGTAACACATATGTAAGGCCTTATTTTGTAGTATGCAGTGTTCAAGAAAAGAAAAGTCTTTTGACAAACATTTAGTGAAATGAAAAAAACTCAAGAATTTGTCATTGAAGTTCATAAGATATTCTGAATAATATGCTATTCAACCAATAGCTAAGGACCAAAATAGTCAAGGTGTGATCCTTAGCAAATGTTGAGTAGTTTATGTATACAAGTCTATATTCTAACAAAAATCCCAATCAATTATCATTGGGTAACGTCTCACAATCATACTTCCGTGATGGCGTGACCTACGGGCTTTTTGTTCATTCATTAGTTACAGTACTACTTTGAAGTTAATAATTAAAAAAAAAACTAAAAAAAACCACCCACACTGAATTTTCGGACAAACTTTTGGTAAACAACATGATAAAAATGAAAACTAGGGGTAAGATCTGACAGACGTGCAAATACCAAGTGTTCTGCTTGTAGCTAGGTGAACGTGTTGCAACAAATACCACCATGCACTACCATTCCGATATTATTACCCAAATAAACACAACCTCAGACCAGGCTTGAAGTACCAGCCACCTTCAAATTCCACCTTCACACACTGCTTATAATAATTACACTCAAAAGGCTCAGAAACAAACTGAATGAACATTTTATTTACACATGATACACTGATACTGCTTCAGCTACACATTCTTCTTGCTGAATCTGTTAAGGACTCCATGTTGAAGCTTGCCGCGACCTTCATTTCTCGTCTGCTCTCGGGACTGCTCCTGTTTCAGTTTGTTTGACTCACGAGCTACTTCTCTTCTCACAGTGTCCTTGACCTCTTGCTTCCTGTGTTCCACTTTCCCCGCCTTGCTGCCACCTCGCATCTTGTAACGAGGAGTGAACTCTGTCTTCTCCACCTTCAGAAACTGAAAATCAAAATGAATAGTGAGTGAGTTAGTTGCATTTAACACCGCTTTGACCAGATTACAGTTACATCACAGCTTCACCTGCCATGTGCTCCAGCTGTGAAGGCTTCACCTGCCATGTGCTCCAGCTGTGAAGGCTTCACCTGCCATGTGCTCCAGCTGTGAAGGCTTCACTTGCCATGTGCTCCAGCTGTGAAGGCTTCACCTGCCATGTGCTCCAGCTGTGAAGGCTTCACTTCACCTGCCATGTGTTCCAGCTGTGAAGGCTTCACTTGCCATGTGCTCCAGCTGTGAAGGCTTCACTTGCCATGTGCCTCGGCTGTGAAGGCTTCACCTGTCATGTGTTCCAGCTGTGAAGGCATCACCTGCCATGTGCCTCGGCTGTGAAGGCTTCAACTGCCATGTGCTCCAGCTGTGAAGGCTTCACTTGCCATGTGCTCCAGCCATGAAGGCTTCACTTGCCATGTGCTCCAGCTGTGAAGGCTTCACCTGCCATGTGCTCCAGCTGTGAAGGCTTCACTTGCCATGTGCTCCAGCTGTGAAGGCATCACCTGCCATGTGCCTCGGCTGTGAAGGCTTCACATGCCATGTGCTCCAGCTGTGAAGGCTTCACCTGCCATGTGCTCCAGCTGTGAAGGCTTCACTTGCCATGTGCTCCAGCTGTGAAGGCTTCACCTGCCATGTGCTCCAGCTGTGAAGGCTTCACTTCACCTGCCATGTGCTCCAGCTGTGAAGGCTTCACTTGCCATGTGCTCCAGCTGTGAAGGCTTCACCTGCCATGTGCTCCAGCTGTGAAGGCTTCACTTGCCATGTGCTCCAGCTGTGAAGGCATCACCTGCCATGTGCCTCGGCTGTGAAGGCTTCACCTGCCATGTGCTCCAGCTGTGAAGGCTTCACTTGCCATGTGCTCCAGCCATGAAGGCTTCACTTGCCATGTGCTCCAGCTGTGAAGGCTTCACCTGCCATGTGCTCCAGCTGTGAAGGCTTCACCCGCCATGTGCTCCAGCTGTGAAGGCTTCACCTGCCATGTGCTCCAGCTGTGAAGGCTTCACCTGCCATGTGCTCCAGCTGTGAAGGCTTCACCTGCCATGTGCTCCAGCTGTGAAGGCTTCACCTGCCATGTGCTCCAGCTATGAAGGCTTCACCGGCCATGTGCTCCAGCTGTGAAGGCTTCACCTGCCATGTGCTCCAGCTGTGAAGGCTTCACCTGCCATGTGCTCCAGCTGTGAAGGCTTCACCTGCCATGTGCTCCAGCTGTGAAGGCTTCACCTGCCATGTGCTCCAGCTGTGAAGGCTTCACTTGCCATGTGCTCCAGCTGTGAAGGCTTCACCTGCCATGTGCTCCAGCTGTGAAGGCTTCACTTGCCATGTGCTCCAGCTGTGAAGGATTCACCTGCCATGTGCTCCAGCTATGAAGGCTTAACTTGCCATGTGCTCCAGCGGTGAAGGCTTAACTTGCCATGTGCTCCAGCTACGAAGGCTTCACCTGCCATGTGCTCCAGCCATGAAGGCTTCACCTGCCATGTGCTTTAGCTGTGAAGGCTTCACCTGCCATGTGCTCCAGCTGTGAAGGCTTCACCTGCCATGTGCTTTAGCTGCTGCACATGCTGCATGAACTCTCTGCTCATATCTCGAGGATGTAAGACTTACCTCCAGTTTATTCTTCTCTTTGATCATCTCGTCGTAGCTCTTCGCCTCAATCTGACCCACTTTCTTGGTGTCCAGGGTGATCATATCTATGGGTATCTGTAAAGGAAATCATGTGATACATTGCAACACAAGTTCCTGCACTAGCAGAGTACAGACATCAAATCCCAGTTATCCATACAAATATAGAGAACATGTGCACTGACCCCATAACAAACTGCAGTCAAAAATATTCAATTTATTTCATGGTGCCTGTGATTCATGGAGCAATCACATACCTCGATGAGTAGGAAAAACAATGAAGTGCCCTTCTCTGTTTAAAAAATAAATGAGGACCTGCTAAACATTAACGAATTACATGCTGATCTCAAACCAATAAAATCCTCCCCATTCAGACACATCATACTGACTCTGAGTTGACCAGTCCTTGTTATATCCCCTTATGCCGAGCACCAGGCATTAACACATAAAAACAAATCTTTAAGCATGAGTGAGTGAGTATTGTTTTACGCCGCTTTTAGCAATATTCCAGCAATATCACGGCGGGGGACACCAGAAATGGGCTTCACACATTGTACCCATGTCGGGAATCGAACCTGGGTCTTCTGTTGATGAGCGAACGCTTTAACCACTAGGCTACCCGACTGCACTCTTTTGGCATGACGCGGCCGAGGATGGGACCACCAACCTTCCGATCTGTAGGCAGACACTTCCGCTCTATTAGCGACAGAGGTGGTCCCGAGCAAGGAAAAAGAGACATACCTTGTCCAGCAGCATCTTGACCTCGGCCTGTCGCCGCTGTTTCTTGGTCTGGTATGGATTCACCTCCAGAGCATCAAAGTTGGCCTCTCCAGACCCTGCACAAACACAAATAGATATAAAGGCCATGCAGATAGAAAAGCTCTAACTGAGGAGTGAGGACCCATGTCTGCTGCGTGAGCTGATCTATGGCTTATCCCACAGAACCATCTCGCAGTGAGTGAGTTGGGTTTCACACCACTTGAAGTATTTTGATTATATCTTAGTGTGTCAGCATAATTTGGGGATCTTCCCGAGGCAAGAGAGTTAATGGACGATAAAAGTCCAGTTGCCACCCAAGTTGGCGAACTTGGCTGGAATTTCTGAGTTATATTTTTGGCTTGACTAACAAGTCGTTTAGTCACAGCAGGTCATCTCATTTGTGAATTCACTGAACACGTTTATAGTGCTGACAGATTATGAATATTTGTTTGTTTGTTTATTTGTTGTTTAATGCCACACTCGGAAATATTCCAGCTATGATGTCGGTCTGTAAATAACTGAGTATGGACCAGACAATCCAGTGATTGACATCATGAGCATCGATCTACACAATTGGGATTGATGACATGCATCAACCAAGTCAGCGAGCCTGACTACCTGATCCCGTTAGTCGCCTCTTACGACAAGCCTAGTCGCCTTTTACGGCAAGCATGGGTTACTGAAGACCAATAACTGGGGTGGGGTGGATGTGGTCCTTAGGGATATCTGTACCGTGTGAGTACAGCTGCTAGTCAGGCCTTGTGACCTCACTTCCTGTTGCTTCTCATGACATGGACAACGACGTTTGTTGTTTAACGCCGCACTCAGCAATATTCCAGCTATATGATGGCGGACTGTAACCAGACAATCTAATGATTGATATCATGAGCATACAAAGACATGCATGAACTAAGTCCGCAAGCCTGACCATCCGATCTCGTTTGTCGCCTCATACGACAAGGATTGTTGCAGAAGACCGAATCAAACCCGGATCCTCAAGGGTCCCTTGACAAGGAATGCACATAGGAGACTAACCTGGAACAAGAAGGCTGGCAAATCCTTCCGAGTGGCTCACACCAAGAACATCCTCATATGGACAGAACTGTACACCCCTGATGGAGGATGGGATGCGATGCTGCATGTAAGGGGAGGTAACTCTCTGCTGACAGCAGTCCTTAAATACCTGAAATCATCCATGTACACCATGTACACATGCACCTGTGACAACTTAACCTCAAAGGATGTGAAAAGAGATTTATGCATCTTCCTGCAATATCAATGCCAAATACCAGGAATGGCCTGTAAGTGCCATTGAAAATAAATACTTGGAAATACACCAGTTATTACTTGTCTTGTTTTGCCATCTGCAGATTATGATAGAATATGTAACTGTATTTGTAATGAGTAAGGATGAGACATATGGACGAACAACTTCTTTATTACAATAAGGAGCGATGGTTTCAGTGTAGGTTCTAACACCGTTATCAAGCAAGTGAAGTACAGAGTATGGTTGACAAGAATATAGTGTTTATACAGTTGAGTAGGTTTAAGATCAGTTACACTGTTGTATTTGTAATGAGTTGTGTTTCTGCATGAAGTAAGTCAGTGAATGCAACAACTGTGTCCATGACACTTTTGGAGGAACATACACTCAAGCAATGCAGAACTTACCAACAAGAAAAGGAAATGTATTCAATACTGTGAGATGACATTATGTGCCAAGTTTGGTTGCCATTGAAACTCAAAAAAATTTATTTTTTTTCAATCCCAAACTATCAAAAGACAACGTCGGCGTGACGAGCAAACGCTTTAACCACAAGGCTACCCAACCGCCCCTATACTACTCAGAAGAAGTTAAGAACACCCAATTCCTGAACACTCATTGCCATGACAGATTAATTGTAGTAAATGGGTGTTTTCTAACTTCTATTGAGTGGTATATATCAGTCATATTACGTGGTTAGGAGTGTCTGACCTGGACGACGTTGCCCGTGCCAGCTGCGATCATGCCCTGCTGACTGAAGGCAAGGGATCCCGCCCCTGTTTGTAGCTTGTAACTCTGCAGCATCCTGTACATCCGCAGATCCCAGATCTTCATCTTCCCATCAATCCCAGAGGAGGCCATGTACCTAAAAGTAAGTGAGTGAGTGAGTGAGTGAGTGAGTGAGTGAGTGAGTGAGTGAGTGAGTGAGTGAGTGAGTGAGTGAGTGAGTGAGTGAGTTGGGCAGGAATTGGAAATACAGAAAGTTTTGACTGAAACACAGACCGTTAAACCAACACTTTGTCTTTGAAACTGTATAATTGTGATGAAAATAAGCAGTTACATTTAAATTCCAAAGGAGCCCCAGAGGTATGAGAGATTCATGAACCTTTGGAAAATCTAGATACTTCATTTAGCCATTTTAGGGCCCTAGCATTACAGTAATGGCTGTGCGAAAAGGAAAATAAATATGGTTCAAGGACAGACTATCAGACCATGTTTAAACTGAAATTTCATTTGCTGAGTATCAGTAGTTCAATTATTCCAGGGTGTGAATAATGCAGAACTCTTGTCCATACAGTCAAGAAGTAGTACTGTAAAATGAATTTTAATTCAAACACTTACTTCCCCGAGTTGTCAATGGCCAGGGATCTAACGCCCCCAATGTGACACAGCATCTTGGCTGCATAGCTCTTCAGATTAGGAGTCCACAATGTCACTGTACCTGCACACACAAATAGCAAAAGTGAGTTGGGTTTAACGCAGCGTTGAACAGTATTCCAATTATATCACAGTGTGTCAGCTCAATGTGGGAGGAAAGCCCGAAGTGATGCAGGTCTTGAGATGCTTACCACTTTGGTGAAACCCACGAGCATGGGTATGGTGGTGACAAACCTAAAAACATAATCGGGACAAACAACGATTTGAACCCACTATCACAGGTTTTTGTCATACCCTTGGAGTGCAACTCTGCACAGCAAATTGCAGCACTCGTGCTCCCTGTAGCCTTAAAGCTCTTTTCAGAGCTCCTGATAAGCTTTTGGTGTAGTGGACATTTTACCCATGCATTCTAAAATCATTGGGTATCAGTAATTCTATCTGGGTATTCAAATTTCTGTTACCCACTAGTTTTTACACATGTGCGTATTTAAGTTAAATATTTAAAAACACTAATCATCTAGTCCCTGCAAACTGGTGTCGTGTGGGTTTCGAGAGCTTTATAGGACTCAAAAATACCACGATACTTCCACAAGAAAGTGTGATGGCAAATGATCATGATGTAAATCGTGGAGTTTGGCAAGGTTGACGGAATGCCTGTTTATAATTTCAAAATAAGTTGCTGATTTGCTAATCGAATACGCAGGGTTACTTCACAATATTTTGATGATATGCACAAGTTTTATTTTTGTAGCGTATCTGTAATGTTCGTTGCGTACTTGATACGCTTGGTTTTTATTTTAATGTTTATTTCTGCATTTCTGATGCGTATTTTACGCAGATACGCAGCTTATCTGGAGCTCTGTCTTTAACAATATTTTTCCATATTGAGGCGTGAACACCATGACTAGGTTTTACAGAGAACGGAACCAATGGCCCATGCATTATGAGTGAACACTTTTACCACTTGGCTATCCCCGTCACAGACCAGGAGTCATGGGATGGCAACACTGCCTTGTCCATGGCGTACATTATGGCATAGTGACGTCTGCTCTTAAACCATTAATGGTTGACAAAAGCTGTTGAGTGATTTGTTGTCTGGGTCATATGGTGGGCAGGTCTGGGGATCCCTTGTCTGGGGAACTTGGTTGTCATGGCCTCAAATGCTTGCTCTTACCTCCGGGGTGTCCGAGGTGGACCACGGCGTTGCTGCGGTTCTGACACATAACGTCCAGGCGGCCACTGTGGGTGTAGACTCCGGCCACCTTCTTCCCTACTGACGTGTCCACGTACGTCAGGAAACCCTTTGCACTCTGGTATACAGGGAAACATAACTGACTTTAAGATATTTATTATATACTTCAGTGAGAAAGATGAGTTTTCTGAAGTTGAGAAAAGTGATATTTTCATTGCAGTTGACATAACACTTGATATTTCACTGCAGTGAACAGAACGCTTTGACGGAACTATTTTCATACAAGAGTTACCTCCCTGCAAATTGTCTCCCTTTGTCGTAAGAGTCTGGCCCGTGCACAATTTTTTTACTTCCTTTTTACGTTAGTTCCTCATTGTCAAGCAAAACAATGACAGATGGTCATACCTTTTATTCAAACAGCTTCCCAGCTTTCAAGAATATTTATTTTTACGTCGATTTTGTATATAATCATATCCAAATGTATGATAAAGAACTTTAGTGACCTCAAATATTTTTTATTACTTTTATTATATTTTTTAAGATATTGCAAACTCGGAACTACTTTTTAAGTTGCAATAACAAGGGGTGGTGAAACGTTCCAGCGTGATAGGTAGGGGAATTTATGTTTCAAGGTTTTACATTTGTAATGAAAAAAACAATCATTCCGGTAGACAACTACACACAAAGTATATAAAAAATAGGGTATTCATGGTTCTCTAGAAATATCATGTTTCTCTCATCGCATGACAGAGGAAAGGAGATTTATTACTTGCCTGTGAAGAGATCACCCGTTTAATAAACATACAGCTGTATTACACATTGTGTAATACCAAAACTCGTGCTCATGTACTCTCGGAACACGTTTCACGAACAAATATTGAAAGCTCTCAACATCCCTTGGCTTATTCAACGACATTGCATGTGGAGATGATAGATCACTGAGAGGAGCTTATGCACACTCGATGACCCCAGCAACCTTGTTGCTAGGTTGACGTCACATGGCATTGTTTCGCCGAAGGATCTTGCAACAAAATTCCACAAATTACGTCATCAGGTATTGTGACGTGATTGTAAACTTTGAGGTGCAAGGCCCTGTTCCACAATCGTACGGTAGCGCAACGACAGTCGTTGGTCTAAGTTAAGTATATGAGTTGCGATAACCTTAACGCTACGATAATTTTGTGGAACGGACGCCTGAATTCTAAAGGTGGACCGTTGGATGGTCAGATACCAGAACTATTCACTCGTTTCATAAAATTGGTATTACACGGGAGCTCGTTTAGTATTCTTTATATCTTCACTCTCCTTTACCCCATCACGCGATAAGTGAAACATGATATTTCACGAGACCCACGAAATATCCTCTATCATCTCATCTACTCGCTACTGTGACTGGGAATCTTACATTGACTCGTCACAGTGCTGGATTCTTACATCGCCTCGTCACGGTGCTGGAATCTTACGCCTACTCACCGCGGTGGCCAGGAGGAAGTGGTAGGGCAGGAACTCCATCCGCAGGGCCGTGTCAATGGCCTTCAGGCAGTGCAGCTCGATGCCCTGGTTGTCATAGATATACGTCCACTGTCGCTGGGCAACAGCAAACATTGTCTCCTGGTGGAGCCACCTAGGGAGATAATGTGTCACCTGAACTAGTTGGGCAGACATGGATTCATCTAGGACGAAGCAAGCAAATGGGAAACAGGCACGATTGTGTCACCACACTGTGATCTAATAAGAGGTATTTATCATGGGCACCCCCCCTTTTTATTTCGAAAAAAATCTTTATTTCTGTATAAATTACCGCAAAAGACAATAAATAGATCTTAACTGTGCACCCCCCCTTTTCAAAAAAGCTGTATCCGCCTATGTTTATGTATAGCTCGCATTCAATGTCAATACTGCTCAACTATTTATAAGGATAATCAGATATATTGTTCTATATAAATATACACATGTCATACGGGAATCAGTTTTGTGTATCATGGAAGGACAAAAATATCCCCATCAAGAGTGGAGCAGTATATTTATAATGACAACTTCAGCATAGGCGGAGCCAGAGGGGAGGTCCATGGGGTCCGGACCCACCCTTTTGAAAACAAAATGTAGTATGCTGTAGATAATCTCTCCTCACACAACCCTCCTCCACTGAGAGGGGATTTTGATACTTGGACTAGGGCTGCAACGAATACACTATGAGGCGAATACGATTCATATCACGAATATAGAGTAAAGAATACGAATATTAATTCACGAATACAATAACAAGTCAGCAGTCGATGTATTATTTGTTATACTCAGTGAAACAATAACATCATAAATTATTTGACATGGTTTGTTAATCATTAATATATTATACATTTATATACTGTACTTATCCAGGTACTAGTATCTGCTCAAATGCGACAATGACCAGTGACCACAATAACGTCAAATTAAATATTATGAGAGTGTTGTCTTTTGAAGACATCTATGCATATAATATGTTCTCATGGATATTTTTAGGTACAGGGTATGTAAATGCACATGATTGCATATTCATAAATATTCGATTCTATTTGCCACGAATAACGAATTCAATTCATGAATGGATACGGTTCAATTCACCGAATACGCGAGTGAATCGTAACAGCCCTACTTTGGACCCTTCGCTTTTAAAATTGCTGGATCCGCACTTGTTCAGTATTTGCAGCCCCACAAATTTGTTTTTTCTCCAACACTAGTCCCGAGGAGTGAGTGAGTGAGTGAGTGAGTTTGGTTTTACGCCGCTTTTAGCAATATTCCAGCAATATCACGGCGGGGGACACCAGAAATGGGCTTCACACACTGTACCCATGTCGGGATCGAACCCGGGTCTTCGGCGTGACGAGCGAACGCTTTAACCACTAGGCTACCCGACCGCCCCCTAGTCCCGAGGACAAGAGCAAACCATATTAATGTAGTTATCATAGTAACTGTACATTTTACACTAAATTGTATATTTATATACTTATCCTATCCCTCACTATGCACTTCTTCTTTCGATCCTTATGCTTCTAAAAACATTTCACCTCAACACATCCCAGTATCACCAGGGTCACCACCCCAAGAAATGGGTCACGCACTGTAATCCTGTGCGTTGTGACCTTACAAGACCTGATCACCTGACTACCCCTGCCACATCATTCTCTGTCTTAGAGCTAACAGGCTGGAGGGGCCGTGATGCGGGGAGGGTCGGGGGGCATATAGCATGTGAGATATGATAAGTATATAAATACACAATGTAATATAAAATTTATTTTTTTTTAAACTTATCCAATCTTATTATGCATTTAGAATAAATAAATAAAAAAAGTTACAACTTAATGGAAAACAACTACTGATTTATTGCATTAGTGACATTTTATTATATTCTTACACGGTTCTCAAGCTGGAATGATAGAATCTACATCGAAGCGCCACTAAAGCAATAAACCAAAAGTTGTTATCCATAAAGTTGTATGTTTTATTATTTTTACTATAAATACCTACTTGATGTCATTGACAGTTTCCATGACATTGAACTCGCACATAAGTTTCTTTGTCTGCCAGTCAAAGGCAGCCATGTGACCTTTGGCCCCTCCCAACAAGAGATGTCTGTAAACAATAGCTGTCATTCAGTGTACAGTAACTATGGCAACAAGCAAATGTGCCATCAACAAAAGCTGGCAGCCGGAAAATTCTCCCCCACAACATTTCTGACAAATCAATCCTCTGAAAAATAAAATGGAGAGATAATTTGCATCTAGAACATGTTGATATCATGAAAATGGTGTTTATCAAAGTGTTTTGAGTTTGTTCTAACTATTAAGGTATATGAGGGTGCTATACAACCGCAATGTTGTCATTAGCTTAGGTTATGTTTGAATTGACATAACAATCAGTTTTATTATGAACACAAAACAATTTTCAGTATGTTTTTTCCCCTAAGATTAGTCCTGTGCCATAAATATATATTCTTTATCACAGTGTGTTTCTTATCAACTTGAGTTACATTACCTCAGAACCATCTTCCTGAGGCAAGAGCGTCCACTAGCCTTTTTATCAAAGTCTTGTTTCTACCCTTGCCACACCATGCCCACTTTCCTGTGCTAAATATGATTGGACTATCGCACATATCGATAAATCAATCAGAGAACGTTTCACAAAATCAACATCCATTACATCTTTGTTGACATGTCTTTTTCATCTTTTAAACCCCCAAACGATTGCCATTGTTTTTGTGTCAGGGTTGAAATCGCGAATGTTTTCATTATCTGATCGACTAGGTCGTCCCCTATGGTAGTCGCTATCTTAGTGAAGCTATATGAGATAAAACAGCAATCTGATTGGATATCGCGTTTTCATTACAAGGAGCACAACTCGTGACGTACATGAGGTGGCGCCAGGGTCGAGCCAAGAAAAGTGGCCTTGGTGTGGCAAGGGTAGAAACTAGGCTATGATATAGACTAGTGGATTCGCTTGCCTCGAAAACAGTTTTATTTTCAGATGAGTATCAAAACAATTCTAATATTTAAAGACTGTATTTCTCTATGTTGTAGTCCATACACACCTCCCATTTCGTGAGTAGTTTAACCGATATGGACCAAAGTCTTTTAACGTCAGTTGAAAATACTGAAACAAATAAATAATTTTAGATTAATAACACAACAGATAAGAACCATATCAACATGATATTGAGATAATACGGATGCCAGTTACAAATAACAACTTTTGAAAATATAAGAGCGCTTGTGACCACCATACTTTGATTGAGACATTTCTATATATCATATGCTAAAATGACAGACATACAGCATGGTGTTGGAGTTCTGGAAGTATCTAGGATCAGCTTATTGTTAGGTCTGTGTATTGGCATAATAATTGTATCGCAAAATATTATGATTCAGGTTTTTGTTTTGTTTGTTGTTTAAAGCCGCACTCAGCAATATTTCAGCTATGTGACAGTGGTTTGTGAAAAATCAATTGGGATACGATGACAAGATCAACCAAATCAGCGAGCCCGACCACCAGATCCTGTTAGTCAACTCTCATGGCAATCATGGGTTGTCAAAGACCTATTTGAACCCGGATCTTCACGGGTCATGGTATATACATGGAAAGTGACATGTCCAGGAGAGTAATTCCAGCATTAAAGAGATTGATAAGAAGCCCTGGGGGGATAGTATACAAAATCGCTGTCCAAAATCCCCAAATTTGACTCTTTTAATTTACTTTTCAATATTTTATGTCGTTCGATACCAAGCATTACTCATTATTTCACAGAAATACTTTGTTTTCCAACTATTTTACTTCCACCTAAAAATATATTACCCACTGCAAAATTGTTTTCCTAATACGTGATCAAAATACATTTCCTCCTTGTTCTAACCACGAAACTACGCGCTTAATAAATATCGTGCATATTATACGCATCATTCTGATTCAGACACATTTAGTGTAAAAAGACGGATGTTCCGATTGAACATTTTAGTCAGGCATCGGTTACCTCCCTTTATCGGCTTGTCGACCAGTCACTTGTACGCAAGACGGTTCGCGCAGTTTCGAAGAAAGTAAACATGTTTCAACGCGATGGAAAATGGGTGTGCGTGAAATAATTTATATATTTTGTAACTCTACGATGAAGAAGCTTTTAGAAAATACTACGTGTTAGTTTCTTAAAAATATGTACATAGGAGAAAATTGCTGTCAAAAACAGAACATTTTGCTCGATTTTTGCACATTTTTCTCCCAATTTGACCGTTAATTATTTTTCTTATCACATTTTTTTCATGTCATTCGATAACTAGTAGAATGATCAATAACTGTACTTAATTTTGTTTTAATATTTTCACAAATAACGCTTGTAGAGACATTTTTGTGCAACATGCAGAAATCCATGGTCCACTGACAGGCCGTCACGCATACGAGTGACCCCTCCCAGTTGGTCACTTGTACGCGAGACGGGAGAGCCGTCTCGCGTACACATTACGTCCTCTACTGGTATAGTGATTAAAACGGTCGCTTGTCACGATGAAGGCTGGGTTCGATTCCCACATGGGTACAATGTGTGAAGCCCATTTCTGGTGTCCCCCATCGTTATATTGCTAGAATATCGCTAAAAGCAGCATAGAACCATATTCGCTGATAAGAAACCCTATCATAAGCCCGATCCCATTAGTCGCCTCTTACGACAAGCATGGGTTGCTGAAGACCTTACGATACAGGTATCTGTATTGCGATAAGTACTGTGATATATTGGGAGGTAAAGTGTTTGACAGTGATTGACACTGCTTGTACATGCAGGTCCTATTACAACATGTTAAAGTCAGCTTGGTCAGTTGCCGACATTTTGAGGTCAGTTATACAGGGGAGATAACAATGTGAGAGAAGAATCACTTCCTTCTTTCTGGCAATCAATTTCGAAGATAAACATTTCTATGTAGAATTAATGTTAAACGACACAAATGATAGCAAAGCTTGTTATCGTATTTGACGTAATAAGCGCCCAGGGCGCTCTCAAAATTAGATATAGGGGGCTCTTATCAGACTATTATTTTGGTTGAAAAAACAGAGTTGAAAGCTAAATTTTATGGTTTTTTGCTGACAGCCTGAATTGTTTATATGCGACAGATATATTTTTCCAGAATTTAATTGCCCACAATTAAGGGTGCATGTAACACACGAGTACGTATTATACAGGAATAAATAAGTCTTGGGTACATTGATCAATCGGAAGCGGTGCTAATTGGGATTGTTCACTTGCCAATTAATAAGCAAATATCGCCGTGGGCGCTTATTAGAGCGGGGCGCTTATTACGTCGAATACGGTATATCTAGTTCACCTAATACACATGATGTACAGAAACACAAAAAGAACATAGTTTTGTCCGGTGGTCAAGTCTTCCATCAACTCACCTTCTGGGCACTGAGAATGTCGACCGAGTCGACGATATCTTGCTGTGTTATGTCAACAGTTGTCTCCCCTTCCTCTGCTTCTAGGAATCTGCAACATGATGCAACAGGCATTACATTTATAATGATGAAATCCTCAATTATCCAGCACATTATGTCTCCCTTCTTTGATGGCCCATCCCCTGGACCCATTTGCCACCACAGTTCATTTCGGACTTCACCAGTAAATGTTAAGATATCAACATCTTGGAGCTGTATTTGTGACGGCACATAAAAGTCAAGATAGACGTGGGTGATATGGATGATTGGTTTAATCGTGGAAAACAGTGTAATTTGATTGGCTTTCTATATTTAGCATCGTTGAGCTGGGAGCAAACTCAAAACAAAAATCGGGTGTCGAATGGGTCCAGGTCTTGTTTAATATTAGATTGGAGACTTAATACAATGCATAACTTTGGACAGACCTCATATTTTGTGTGGCTGTGGTCCAATCATAAAAACATTCTAAAACAAAGAGTAAAGAATGTCAGTTAAATGAACCCTTTTCCTAATGAAACCTTCCACTTGTGTTTAAACATGACGTTGAAGAGAATGAATATGCCCCCCCTTTCCCCCGCTCTTACATTACACCCAAGAGAATTACGTCCCCCCCCTGCCCCCACCTACCCACTCTCCTCTTGAAGCAGCAGCTCCGCCCTGGCAGCCTGGGACACAGCGAAGTCCACCCTCCGCTCCTCCTGCCTCAACCTGTGACTGTCCAACCTGGTCCGCGCCTCTGTCTGAAGAGTAACAGGGTCACAATCAACACACAGTAGAATCATAGGACCTACAGTGCGTTTGCATGTTTGTTTGTTTTTTCTTTAACACTGCACTCACCAATATTTCAATTATATGACGGCGGTCTGCAAATAATTAAGTCCGGACCAGACAGTCCAGTGATTGATATCATGAGCATCGATCCCTGCAATTGGGATTGGTTTTACATTTACGGTAGATCTGGGACTGAATATCACCGCGGTATATCCCGGAAGTGCCCAGGTACTTACAGTGGTCAGTTTCTCAGATCGCTGGTACTTCTTCAGCTTCTCCTCATCTACAGGGGCATCCCCTGGGTAGGGATCTTCTTCCTGGAACAGTGAGTGAGAGAGTGAGTGAGTTGGGTTTCAGTTCACAGCATGTCAGCTTGGTGAGGGAGGGAAACCTTAAGTGATCATTGTGACGTGTGAGTCAGTGTATATGGTTTTATTCCGCTTTTACTTTTAGCAATATTCCAGCAATATCACAGCGAGGACACCAGAAATGGTCTTCACACATAGTACCCATGAGGGGAATCGAACCCAGGCATTCAGCGTGACGAACAAACGCTTTATCCACTAGGCTACCCCACCGCCCCGATCATGGTGATGTCCAAAGTGTCAACAAACCTAGAAACATAATCAGGGTAAATCTGGGATTCAAACCCAAGATCACAAATGTCAGGCCTGACTAAGGGACACAACTCTGCACAGAGAATTGCGGCACCCTAGAGTTGATGACTGGGACACAGGCGGAGGCTTTTCAGTTGCCTTTAGCCTTTCATAATGTAACTCTATTGCACAAGCAGCTTCTGAGCTGACTGCATGGAAGGTAGGTGATGTATTATGCTGTCTAAGCAAAAACATTCAATGGGCCTCCTTGACCAAATACTGTTTATCGTGAAATTAATGCGTCTCCAAAAGAATGCGACCGCCAGCCCCTGGCCAAAAATGCGACTCAGTATGAATACGACACCCCTCCTCCTCTCAAGCAACAGTGGATATATCTAAAGAAAATGTCCTCTGACAGGTTTACAGGAGAATCCTCACCTTAATCCAATCACAAACCAAATAGCACCGCTTATTATTGAGTAGAGCACTTCCGCTTAAACAATACATGCGCTCTGGCTCGTGTCAGCCTTTGACGCAGACGCAAAGAACAAAGACACTGTGTTGCAAGGGTAGTGTCTGTCTGGAAAATGTCCTCTGTCAGGTTTACAGGAGAATCCTCAATCACAAACCAAATAGCACCGCTTATTATTGAGTAGAGCACTTCCGCTAAAACAATACATGCGCTCTGGCTCGTGTCAGCCTTTGACGCAGACGCAAAGAACAAAGACACTGTGTTGCAAGGGTAGTGTCTGTCAGGAAAATGTCCTGTGTCAGGTTTACAGGAGAATCCTCAATCACAAACCAAATAGCACCGCTTATTATTGAGTAGAGCACTTCCGCTAAAACAATACATGCGCTCTGGCTCGTGTCAGCCTTTGACGCAGACGCAGAGAACAAAGACACTGTGTTGCGTGGGTGGTGTCTGTCTGGAAAATGTCCTCTGTCAGGTTTACAGGAGAATCCTCACCTTAATCCAACCTTACATTAATCCAATCACACACCAAATAGCACCGCTTATTAGCGCTGAGTAGAGCACTTCCGCTAAAACAATACATGCACTCTGGCTTGTGTCGGCCTTTGACGCAGACGCAAAGAACAAAGACACTGTGTTGCGTGGGTGGCGTCTGTCTGGACTTGCAGGTGTGATCAGTGATTGACCCCATCAGTGACAATTAAAGGATGTGTTATGTTTGAATGACATTGTTTATATACTTGTTACAAGTGCTGCTCAATAAACAGTGATGTGGAATACATAGTTGTTTGTTTTCAGAGTATGTCTAAGTTGGTATTTCTGCTATCCAAAATGTCTTATTGTTGATATAAATGCGATGTTTATTAATGCAAGCAAAGAGCTCTCGCATTTTTGGCATTTAATTCACGCTCGCGTTAATCTTAATATTTACAGTATATCAGGACTCCAAGTTCAAGTTCAAGGACGCTTGTGAAAGAAATATGGTAGCAACCGTCACAATTTATTTGGAACCAAATTGAGGCTTCAGATTCACCGACACAAACAGCATGAAGAAACATGATTTCCTTGTTGCAACACTAAAAATGTTCGTTAATATACAGGGCTTAAATGATGTCACTAACTATTTGATACACAAGGATTTCATATGTAAGTAACAGCTTTTTCCCAGTATATGTGAAGTATTGTTAAACGTCTGTAAGGTAAACTTACCTCTCGCAGGGATTTGACAACCTTGTCAGTCTTGTGTTTCCCGTGTGTCTTTTTCCGCCCAGGTTTTTCTTGTGTTGGTTTTCCCTCGCCTTTAGTAAACAATTGCTTATGTTTAGATTTCCACTTAAAGAAACGCTTTTTATTTTTGTTGCCTGTTAAATTGTCTAAATCTGGCACAAACGTCTTTGTTTCATTCTGTTTACTGTTCTCCTTATTTTTCTTCTTCTTCTTGTGTTTCTTTACCTGAAAAATATATATTATGTTTTATGTACATTATAACCCTGATAACATGTAAATCAATCTATTTGTATTAGTGAGGTGAGGTGAGGTGAGGTGAGGTGAGGTGAGGTGAGGTGAGGTGAGGTGAGGTGAAATGGGGTTTAACGTCGCGTCCAAGATCATTGCACTTTTATTGCGACGTGGATGCACGTGTGTTTGTGTGTGTGGCTGCTTGTACTAGTCCGGACTGATGCCATTTTATAGTGCTAGCCCACTGAGATACCATGCCGCAGTTTAACATGAATACCCCACTCAGACACAGCATACCGATCCATGCTGACCAGTCCTTGATTTGGACCCTTTATGCCGAGCGCCAGACAGAGTAAGAACAAATACCATCTTATAATGTCTTTTGGTATGACGTGGCCGGGGATCGAACCTTGGACCTTCCGCTATCCGGTCGGACGCAGAACCACTAGACTACGAAGGTGGTCATTTTTATAAGTGTATTCAGTATCACTTCAAAATCTTGCCAGTAAGGTAAGGTGAGGTGAGGTGAATAGGGTTTTAACGTTGCATTCAAGATAAATGCATCTATAGTGAATATCCCTCTCAGTCACAGTATACCAACTCCGAGCCGGCCAGCATTTGTTTCAGCTCTGTAACGACAGGCAGGGTAACAACATGTTAGATCATTCAACATCTGTCGTATGACGCGGCCAGTATCGAGCGAGTGAGTGAGTATGGTTTTACGCCGCTTTTAGCAATATTCCAGCAATATCACAGCGGGGGACACCAGAAATGGGCTTCACACATTGTACCCATGTCGGGAATCGAACCCGGGTCTTCAGCGTGACGAGCGAACGCTTTAACCACTGGGCTACCCGACCAGTATCGAACCCACAACTGTCCGCTCTCCAGGCAGACTCTCTATCCACGAGGCCACAGAGGCGATCAGGGTCTCTAAACATTCTCCTTGACTACGAATTAGTTTGGTTATGAACTTCCCTACAACCCTGTCAGAGCATGTCAACTGTCATGTTTAATTTGCTCCTGTCTTTTGGAGATATATGAGAATAAAACGAAGTAGAAATAGCTATCAAATAGCAGCTGTTGTACTGTGCAACTCTAAGTTTAAAACTTTGTAACAAACGTAAATACATCACGTTATTTCTTCTAGCATGACCAGGCATCACTGCCATCAGCTGATCATATTGACGATATTCTGTACTGGAAGTGAAAATTAATCACGAAATGTGTTCATAGCTGATACTTATTTTATTAATTCATTTGACAGGAACATAAATGTGAATATCTATAAAACATGTCCTACTTTCGTGTTGACATTTGTCTTAGTAGGCAGACTGCTAGTCACACGTGAATCCATTTCACAAAAAATGTACTGTCTTCCCACGTGCACTTGATTTACACTGTAAACTTCCGGTAATGTGCGCATGGCAGTTGTGCTGATCCGGAAGTAAACGGGAAATAGAACGTCAACACTTGGCGCCAGATTTCGAGAAGAAAAGCAACAGTTTACTCGAAGAAAATAGAAAGTTGGCAGGTGAGATATATCCAAAATATGTTATAACTATGTGTCTAATAGTATTGAACCGGGCCGGGTACTGAAGAGTTACTAAGATTGAGATTTTCTTTGAATTTATACGTTTTCATGTTCTGTCGACAGAAAGATCGTCTGCACGATTGTAGTGTTTGACCTTACAGTTTGGTTATATATCGTGGTGGAGAGATGGGACTGGTCTTAGGACTATCATACTATACTATTCTTATACCTCCCACCCCTACTCCGAATTTTATGTAGCTCTTTCCCATGACCCTCCTCCCCATAATAAATGATCACTCACAAGCCAATAATACAATGTATTATTTTATACAACTTTTTATTCCATCAAATTTTTTGTTTGTTGTTTAACGCCTCACTCAGCAATATTCCAGCTATATGACGTCAGCATTTAAGTCTGAACCAAACAATCAAGTGATTGACATCATGAGTCTTTATCCACGCAATTGAGATAAAATTACATGTGATCCACCAAATAAGTCGCAGAGCCTGACTACCTGAATAATCTCATCCAGTACGATGGTAAGACTTCCACCGATATCCTCTAGGGCTGGGACGAGTCCAAATTTACTACACGGGTACCCACCCCATTAATACACGACCCTTCCCAGGTACCCACTTTAGGTCTCAAGATATAGGTACAAATGTCTGATTGGGAAATGTTTGACAGGACTCCTGTCAAAATATATTTAAATGTATTACACGTTAAACCGATCTGGTCATGCATACACTGAAGTTGACTGAAGTTTGTCTTTATGCAAACATATAAAGTCAGATCGAATGTGTGCATAGTCAGAAAGAAATGAACATTCAGCGTTAGAAATTGGCACTAGTCCTGTAGTCCTTACCAAACTGCCTAATAATAAAGGTATCCTAAGGACTAGTAGAAATTGGCCCATTTTAAAGGTTTTGCTATATGTTATCATTATATGTACTAGTGGACAAAACTGTTAGTTTCTAACCCTGACATTTGTCAGTTATATCATGTATATTGTAACCATAGACCAATTTTTGCCATTAAACAATATAATCACGTGACTGACCATAGTTCCGGGTAGGCCTGTGGGTACCCGGGTCCTACTCAGTACCCACCTCAACCGAGTTACCTGTCGCAGCCCTTTTATCCTCCCTAAAAAATATATGTGATGTTAGTGGCAATGCATACAAATGTAACTTTGGGAGGGTGTACCGACAGAATCCTTTCCATAATGATGACCAGCATAAGTTGCAATGTGTAAACAATGTTTAAGTACCTCTCAACTTAAGAAATATGAATGCTGGAGACCAAATCTAACAAGGAATCCTTGAGTTGAAGCCCTAACGGTCCTTCAGTCTAGAAATGTTGTTCATCTTTCGAACAAACAATTAAAGAGTCATACCCAAAGACTGGATGACCTTATAGTTGAATATGTTTGGTCATATATTCCTTTTCAGCACACAATCTCCGATGCGATAAAAAACTTGCTTGTATATTATGGCATCACATAGTGAGTGAGTGAGTGAGTATGGGTTTAAACAATTTTTCAGCAGTATCACCACAGGGGACACCAGACATGGACTTCACACAATCAATGAAGTTTACCATGTTGGGAACTGAACCCAAGCCTTTGGCAGTGATTGAAACTAACGGTTTTAGTGCACTAGTCCTTATAATGATAACATATAGCAAAACCCCTAAAAATTGCAAATTTCTACTAGTTCTTAGGATACCTTAACAATTGGGCAGCTTGGCAAGGACTAGAGGACTAATGCCAATTTCTAACACTGTTTGGCATGAACGCTAATTGTGCAGACATTCTAATATGTCTGCACATTTAGCATGTTTAGATAAACATAAAACATAAACATGATCATGATGATAAATGGTTAACTTTCACTAGGAAAATATCCTACAACTTGAAAAACTGAAAAAAACATTTGCATATTTATCTTTTGTTTACATTGGTTGTACGTCTCCATTTGCGGTCATCGAAGCCATCAAAGAGCTGGTGATACTTTCACTTTCATCATGTTGATGTGTAAATATATTGTAATGCTCTGCACTGTTGCAGTTGTAGTAGCATATCTACATAGTTATGCAAAACAATGTGTAAAGAGCACCAAAAGGCAAGTCTTGCTCTGATTGCAGAATAAGCATGTTTGTTTACAGACAAGAGAAAAGTCTGGTCATGTGATATGCAAATTGTGGCAGTCATCCCAGCACTTGGGGACACGGGTGGCCCAGTCTTCTAAGGCACCATGATTCCCTGTGCAGAGTTGCATCCCTTGGGCAAACCTATGATTATGGGTTCAAATCCTGGTTCGCCCCTTTTATGTTTCTAGGTTGTCAGCACCATACCCATGCTTGTGGGTTTCACCGAATTGGTATACGTCTGAGACCTGCATCACTTTGGACTTTCCTCCCACATTAAGCTTGACACGCTGTGATATAACTGGAATACTGTTAAAAGCGGTGTTAAACCCAACTCACTCACTCTCACTCACTCACTGCACTGGTCCCCAATCAAGAAAGATACATAATATGATACTCTCCTCATGAGACCCTTGAAGGTCCGGGGGTAGAATAGGTCTTCAGCAACCCATGCTTGCCGTAAAAGGCGACTATGCTTGCCGTAAGAGGCGACTAATTGGATCCAGTGGTCAGACTCGCTAGCTTGGTTGAAGCATGTCATAGATCCCAATCGCGTGGATCGATGCTCATGATATCAATTACTGGATTGTCTGTTCCAGACTCGATTAATTACAGACCGCCGTCATGTAGCTGGAATATTGCCGAGTGCGGCGTTAAACAACAAACAAACAACCAACTCATGTTGATATATGATACAGTATTAGTAAGGGTGTAAATAGTACTCAGTACATACATAATATACTCAAAAAAAGAACACTCATTTAATTTTTCAATATTAGAGTCTAGTTTTTATGCATAAAATTAAAATTGAATAAGGAATATGAATTGTTTTTGAAATAATCACAGCCGAAACAATTTTGTTCCTTTCCATTTCAGAATGAGTGAAACGGAAACTCTCAGTGACCGGAGCGTGGCAGAGAGTATGGACAATGTTCATGGGTCCAAGAAACCTTGCCCCCCTTCCACGCAGGAGGCACTGCCAAGTATGTACACACTACTGGGATTTATCTAGACATGCTAAGAGACCAGTTTTCATTCCCAAGTCTGCAGCAAATGTCAGTAGATATTTCCAAATGGGAATTGAAAGTTCCCAGGTCATGATATTCATGATCATCTTGGTAAGGCCAGGGCCTATTTCCACAAAGCGATCTTAGCACTACGATGATCGTAAGCCAGTGTTAAAGTATGGAAGTTACTATCACCTTAGCACTAAGACAACTTTGTGGAATGGGGCCCAGACATTTGTGGGGTTGGTCCAATTTTTTATTGTAAATTCCAATTTCAAATATATTCAGAAATTTATCTAAAAATACGATTCCAAACTAATTGATAATTGGGGACAAAATGTTATTTTGTTCAAAATTGAGATGATTTTTTAGCTCTTATTGTCTTATTTTCAGAGGTACGGGTTGCTGAAGATCTATTCTACCCCGAATCTTCACGGGTCGTTAAAACTTTACAAGCAGCCACATACACATTGCTATTTAAGTGCAATAACCTTGAAAGTCAATGTTTAACCTCATCGCACATTAATGTAATAAAATGCATATGAGGGATTTATCAAGACCTCCTCAGAGGTTGATATTCCGCCCTATTTCCAATTGGACACGTAAATATAGTTATAACAAATGTGATGGCTCGGTTGAGGTTACTTGTAATCACTGATTACGCTGATAACAGAACCAAAAAAGAGGGAGTCTTAATTTTACTTTATTGTATGGAGTGCGATGTTAAAATACCTCTGAAAAAAATCCCAATTTTGAACAATATAACATTTTTCCCCAATTTGCCTGCAAGATAAACCCCTGCATATTCATATTGGTGCGTGTAGCCAGAGCTCCAGATGGGTTATCATGGTTATTACATTTTTCATTGGGCATTCTCTCGTCATGCCGAGGACCAGGGTTCAATTAAGTTTTTACTCTACGGTTTCTACCTTAATTGGGTTATTACATTTTTATTGGGTAACCAACATTTTTTCACTCATCTTTTCATCACTCTATTGGGTTTTCCCAAAATGAGTAAACATTTAGAGATTTAAAAAAAATTAAATTATGTTTTAGATGTATATAACGTGTTCTAAACGTAGGCTAGACTCGGAAGGTAAATTAGCTCGTAATTGTGTTTCGGAAATTAGCATGCTGAAAAAGCTTCATTGGGTACCGGGTATTTACGCATGCTGTTTTCAAACAATTGCATTTTTCATTTAATGCATACCTTTCTGTACGCAAGTTAATTGAAAGTAATTGGGTTTTGAATAGTTTTGGGGGGTATTTTACTCCAATACGCAGCTTATCTGTAGCTCTGTGTAGCCATGTGTAAAGACATTGTAGTGCAGTAATTTGCCAGGATTGCAACACAATGTTTACAGGCAACACTCATTTAAGGAAATCAGTGTTTATTACTGTCTTGTCTATTTCAGTTGATGTACAAGAGGAGATTGAGTGCCTGTATGAATTTGTTCCTGAGGTTGCTCAGCACTTTAAAATCGTCAACAAAATAGGAGAGGGTGAGAGTATTCATTGTTACCACGTGGATCCTTTTAATCAAAATGTTAAATACAAAATGATTTGTTTACTCTTTTATTGTTTATTACCACACTCTAATAATATGTGTTACCATGGTTTCCAGCTCCTTGTCTATATGTGTTTACACGACCACTTACAGTGTTCAACATTAAGGGGCGGTTGGGTAGCCTGGTGGTTAAAGCGTTCGCTCATCATGCCGAAGACCCAGGTTTGATTCCCGACAGGTACAATGTGTGAAGCCCATTTCTGGTGTCCCCTGCCGTGATATTGCTGGAATATTGCTAAAAGCGGCGTAAAACCATACTAAATCACTCACTGCTTAAAATTAAGGAGCTCTTTGTCTTTATAAGGCTTGTTAAAAATGATAGATTTAAAGTCCATGGATCCAAATATATTAAAACAATATATCAGCAAACCTCAAGGCCCCCACCAAGTTCTCCATATCTCAATAACCTGGATCTATTCCTACTGTTACCGTGATCTCAAATTACCTGTCTTGATTTTCATAAGCCAATTTTATTTGCTACACTGCTCAGTCTAACAGACCAATCAGAATGCAAGTTTCAAACCAGCCTCAATGTTGATTTGGCAATATCAACATCATGGCAGCTGGTTCCATTGATTGCAATAAAGTTTGCGAGAAATTCAACACTGAAAAACTAACTGACACAGCTAAGGAAAGCTATCCAAAATCTTTTTGATGGCAAGGATGTCCTTGAATAATTTGTTTTTAAATTTCAGAGATTGAAGATGGGATATTATAGGGCAGAAACTTATAAAGTAGACACATTTATGGATAATAACTTCTTTATTTACTGTAAAGGCAACATTTCAGTCTATTGATACTGAAACGTCGCCTTAACAGTAATTTTACCATGACATTGATAAATGCTTGATTCTGATTGGTTAAAAAGAGGTTTCCTTTTTGCTACGGAAACCTCTTTCAAATATATTAAGCCTTTTCACAAAAAACGTGCGTATGAATACATAGATAGCCTACATATCAATTCATAGAAAATGGCTGCCGATTGATCACCCCCATATGAACTGTAAAACATATCTATATTATAAAATTATACCTCTTTATTTTAATTTGGAACCTCGCGCTAAGGCCCTCGGTTCCAAATTATAATAAAGAGGTAGAGGTCTATGACTATGTTGCTACAAATAGATATTTAACAATAACATTGAGGCAAAACGAAATGTTATTTTCTTGCACTAATAAATAGAAAATGGGAAACCCTGATGATAAAAGACATGCTAACTCTGTTTGAAAAATATACTTTATTGATCATCGCCAATGTTTTGTTCAACAATACAGATTTATAAGGTACTTTATTTGCTGGTTCACATGGTCTGGCAGTCACATAAATTACGGGACCAAGCCTAATTTTACCAGTGAAAAACTGGTAATTACCGGTAAATGGGAACACTGATAGTCAGTAATAGTTGGTGTATCGTCCCGGCCCTGGTAGCATCAAACCCCAGGGTGACACCCCCCCACCCCTCACCCCTAATTGTAGTGCTTAAATTTTAAACTTATCCTATTTCACACTATGCTTTTCTCTTTCTTTTGTCAATCCTTAGTGGAAACATGTCTGGAACAAAGGTTTCCAGCTTCTAAAATTAATTCACCCATACATACCTCATATTACCATGGTCACCTCCCAACACCTGGGTCATGCATGCTTGCATGCTGGTTGAAGGGGCGGTCGGGTAGCCTAGTGGTTAAAGCGTTCGCTCGTCACACCGAAGACCCGGGTTCGATTCCCGACATGGGTACAATGTGTGAAGCCTATTTCTGGTGTCTCCCGCCGTGATATTGCTGGAATATTGCCAAAAGCGGCGTAAAACCATATTCACTCACTCACTCATGCTGGTTGACCTATATCATGTATATGTGCTGATCACGTGGTTATCCCAGCCAACTCATTCTCTCGCTACACAGTGGTGACATGGTGACCATTTATTTTTCTTCCGATTTTTGCCTTTCTATGTTTATCTAACCAGTGAAAAACTGGTAATTACCGGGTTCCCGTGCCACCCCTGATGTAATATTTCTTGCCACTACAGGGACGTTTAGCTCAGTCTTCCAAGCCTGTCTCCGACATCACCCCGAGGTGAAGCAGCAGTTTGCCCTGAAACACATCATCCCAACCAGTCATCCTTCTCGTATCGAGGGAGAACTACGGTGCTTGCAGGAAATTGGGTTTGTTTTTCTACATTATTATAAAGGTCATGGTATTATAGCATGTGTATACGGTTCCTTTTTGGTAGGGTGAAACAATACATTGGTGCATCGTGAGCTTTTATGAGATGATACGATACATGATACATTTTTTTCTATTCGACACAAGACGATATACACTTGCGAAAATACATTACTTACAACTCGTTTAATGACACCAAGCACTTTTGTCAGTCAAATATCGCCAAATGTGTTGTGTTAAGGGTTTCTAGTTCACTATTAAAATAGCTGCTATGAACATGTGTCTACAGCTAGCTTTACCTTTTGAACCCGCTCTGAAATATTTATATTCAAGAAGTTTCTACGCCGTTTGACATAAATATGTGTATGGCGATATGTATTGTAGCTTGACCTATGTATCATAAAACGTATTGCAGCTTGACCTTGCTGTATCGTTTCCCCCCTTAAAAAGTCAGTACTTCACCTATGAATACAGACTGACAAGATATCTTTGAAACAAGTTTGCATTCAGTCTGGACTTGAACAGTGGTAGTGAAGGAGCAGATTCCAGACTAAAAAAGAGAAAGTTCCATAATTAGACAGCGACATTGCAGAAAGAGCAAACTTCCCTATCATCATCATCATCATCATCATTATCATAATAATCTCTGAAACAGAATGTATGACATAAGTCTGCTAGTCTGAGACAAGTCAAATTCAGGAAGTACTAGGGACATTTCCTTGTGGACTACCATTTATACATATTACTATTATCATGATTATGTGGATTGTATGTGTATTTAAAGAGCAGGATCTTTTAATTGATATTTGCTTCCTTATATGGATCATTTGTTATGTACATGTTCTATTTTATTACAATTATATTCTACTACCTGTGACTGCCATTGTCATTTCAATGTACAAAAGGCCTGGCTGTGACCTCATTGTTCTGACTAAAGAAAGATTCAGCCTCTACCTCATCTATTGCAACTCTGTGGCAGGTCATTTATCAGTACAGTACTGGTGAAAATAAATATTAAATTCTAAGACTAAAAAGAAGAATATTCTTGGTTCTCAGACACCTCCCTAACCATCGAAAGTTTGCCACAGGGTTTCGTTTTTATTTCCATTTAAAAAAAAATATTCCAAGTCCAACAGTAGTCAAATACTGTATTCCAGTATTTTACTCATCAAGAAATACATTTATGTAGGCATGGTAGGGAGGCCCTTTCCAGGGTTGATTGTACACAACTATATATTTGGTTACACAACTGCACTTTATTTTCAAAAACCATTGCCCGAGAACCAACTCTTATATTTTATTGAGCCTAACCCTGATAACCATATGAATATGTCCGTGTATTTCAGCGGCTGCGAGAACGTGATCGGTGTGGAACTGTGCATCAGAAACAGGGACCATGTCGTCATCGTCATGCCGTACTTCGCACACGACAAGTTCCCAGTGAGTCAACCCTGTTTAATACACTTACATTAATTGGCGTGTTCCTGACAATGTGTAAATGTGAGGTGTTTTTATTTTCAAATGGCAAGACTCCCATGACCACTGTAACATAAGCATGTAACAATACCATACATGAGATCCATCGTTATTCCCTGTGTTACACCACAAGTTTCAAATCAAATGGTCATGTATTGATCCTAAACGATATAAATATATATACTACTCAAAAGAAGTTAAAGAACTCCCGATTCCTTCATATTATTTGTTTGACAGGCATTACTTAGAAGTTGGCGGATGACAAGATAGACACAATTTTATGGATAACAACTTCTTTAATACTGTAAAAAGCGACGTTTCGGTATAGATCCTTATACCGTTGTCAAGCAAGACTGAATGAGGGACATAGTGTTGAATATATATAGCAAGTGGATTAACAGTAGAGGATTAACAGTAACAACAAGGGCATACATGAGTGGGATACCATAGGTAGGTGTGACAACAAGGATGATGCTATCACAACACGACTAGTCGACAAAGTCATCGCCTCTGTACTCTATCCCACACCCAGACCTGCAGCCCTTAAACCCGAATCAGCGCCCTTCCGCATCGCCCTCCCGTTCATAGGAAAAGCCTCCCACATCATCAGCCGCCTCCTCAAACAGCAAGCCAACATCGACACCCACTTCACCAGCTCCAACTCCCTCAACACCCTGCTAAGAGCCAACGGCAGGAACACATCTAAACCCCAAGAGGTTAAAGGTGTAGTCTACAAAATTGACTGCAACTGCAGGCAATCTTACGTAGGTGAAACATCCCGCCCAATCAACACTAGCATCAAAGAGCACAAAACCTCCACCATCAAATCCGACAGCAAATCAGCCATCTCGGACCATATCATCAACTGGGACAACGTCCAAATCCTTGCCAACAACCTCCATGATTTCACCAAAAGAAAACTAACAGAAGCAGTCCACATTTGCCGCCACAACCCATCAATCAACAGAGATCAAGGCTATTTCATCCCATCCGCCTACTATGAACTCATCAAACAATAATCACCTGTTATTGGCTTCATGCCCCATTGGCTTCTAGCTATGTGGTTTCTGTCCATCGTGTTGTGATAGCATCATCCTTGTTGTCACACCTACCTATGGTATCCCACTCATGTATGCCCTTGTTGTTACTGTTAATCCTCTACTGTTAATCCTCCACTTGCTATATATATTCTGCACTATGTCCCTCATTCAGTCTTGCTTGACAACGGTATAAGGATCTATACCGAAGCGTCGCTTTTTACAGTATTAAAGAAGTTGTTATCCATAAAATTGTGTCTATCTTGTCTCCTTCATATTACTAAAGCTAATTTCCTTCTTTGATAGGCATTTAGAAGTTGGAGTACTAAGTAAGAATAAGATTTATGGATTAACAACTATTACAATTAAGAGCGACGCTACGGTGTACAAATGGTGTAGGTTTGCTTGATAACGGTGTTAGAACCTAAACTGAAACACCACTCTTAATTGTAATAAAGAAGTTGTTCATCCATAAATCTTATCCTTACTTATAGCTAATCTGTCATGCCATGGTAATATGAAAGAATCGGGCGTTCTTCACTTCTTCTAAGTAGAATAAGCATGATGAAATAGTATAAACATTATTATTAAAAATACTAAACATACTCCACATGCTCAAGCCCCTATTTTGTTAATGGACTCAAATTTACCTAATATATGATTGGGCTTCTATCAGTCTATGCCATAAGAGGTGACAATGCTTGTAGTAAGAGGCGACTAACGGGATCGGGTGGTCAGGCTCACTGACTTGATTGATGCGTGTCATCGTAACCCAAATGCATAGAACGATGATGCTCATGATGTCTTTCACTGGATTGTCTGGTCCAGACTCGATTATTTACAGACTGTCGTCATATATCTGGAATATTGCTGAGTGAAGTGTTAAACAACAAATACAAATATTATATGTCGTGCATCAGTCACAGAGAGTAGTTGGATGTGTGACTGTGCTTGGCAACTTGACTCCTGAGAGTTACAAGGAAATTTGGTCCTGCCCCAAACTGGAGCACCTATAGTGTCTTCTTGAGCAAGTGTGGGGCGGTCGGGTAGCCTAGTGGTTAAAGTGTTCGCTCGTCACGCCGAAGACTCTGGTTGAATTCCCGACATGGGTACAATGTGTGGAGCCCATTTGTGGTGTCCCCCGCCGTGATATTGCTGGAATATTGCCCAAAGCGGCGTAAAACCATACTCACTCACTCACTCTTGAGCAAGTGAACTTGTTTGAAATATGTCTCTGTTACCCAGCAGTGAAATGGGTACCTGTTAGGATGAGAAAGTAATGTGCCTCAGGTAGCTTGGGTTGTATTCTCCCCATGGAGCTGATAATGAAAATTGAGTGCACACTGATTCATTGCCTGGGGTAATAATCATGTTGCACTTTGTGAACGCCCTTGTGTGGTGTGGAAATATGGCGCCATATAAATAGTCTTATTATAAGCATTATGGTGTTGTAACAAAGTGTAATTTTACCACTCTAGTATTAGCTATAACATCAAGCATGTCTCTTGACTGAAGTACCTTCTCACTGGCATTGTATGTTACCATGGTAACACATTTTTTTTATGTCAGGGTTCAAAATTGCTTTAAGTCTGCTGGTCCCTGGCTAATAAAATACAGGAAGTACCAGCGACTGCTACTTAAAATTTTGTGAAACTCTGCCTCTCTGTCCCCAGGATTACGTGCTGGAGATGTCGCTGACGGAGGTGCGAGACTACATGCGCAACCTTCTCATAGCTCTCCGACGCGTGCACAAGTTCGACATCATACACAGAGATGTAAAACCCAGCAACTTCCTGTACAACCGAGAGACACAACAGTATGTTTGGCTGAACAAATTAATAATCTTGGTTCTCAGCAGGGGTCCGGAAAATTTAAAATCCCAATCGGACATTTGCATTTAGGCCACGCCCCCTTCAAATAGCGTATTTTAGTACGACTTTTCACACACATTACAAGTTTACGTATTCATAATATGATGAATTATGAATTGTTTCAATTTAAATTGTTTAATTCACCGGACAATTAATAACAAATAATATCATTTTAGATTTACATGGAAAAAATATGTTTGTTTCTGTTATAATAACGATCTGTTAACGTAGTGAACGGTCCAGTTAATATTCATGAGTTATATTCATGAGTCTGCTCAAGTGTACGCGTTGTAACATTTGGATCGAGACTATTATCCCATATTTGGTTATCACGTGACCTCACGGGAAAAGTTTTTTTTAAACTAAAGATTTTTTTAAAAACAAGACAGATAATTTAATCACAAATACTAAAATATCGTTGATAGCAATAGTTATTTGAATACTTTTTTCATCTGTACTTAATTATTGACCATAAAAAAATTGGATATCGATCGTCCAAGGAAGCAAAATGGCGGTCAATCAAGATTCAATATACGACTAGCTACTGAAAACAATAAAATCTGCAAATCCTCATTGTATGTCAACCAAGTGAAAGTCGTTAACCACGACTTACAAAATGATCATCCAGACTTTGAGGGTTTGGCAGATCCGCTCGACTGATTTGCATCGGTCGACTGCCTGTCGTTACGCTTTCGCTTCTTGTCTGAGGTTACGTATCGTAGCATTGTGAGGATTATGAGGTACATCGATGATGCAAGGTATTAATGTACAGTTGTAAACACCTTTCACTCAAATTAACAAGATGTTCTCAGTAATTAATCCTCGATTAATCAGTGTCAACTCAGTTTATTGCCTATTACAGTGATTGACAGATTGGACTATCATGTAGGTACGATGTATTTACAGCAATCAAAACAAACAAAGCTATTCAGTGTAGTTAATCTTCATTGTGTTGCAACTGCAGACAGAAACTGCTCAGTCCTAACTGTTGATCATGTCCGGTCAAAATTTAAGAATGTCCGGACAATACTTTTTAAAATGTCCGGTAAGCAATATTTTAAAACGGACATTTGAGATTCCCAATCGGACATGTCCGGCGCATATGACGGTTTCCGGACCCCTGGTTCTCAGGCACTGCCCTCATCATCACAAAGTTGCATGTTTTGTTTTTATTTCCATTATTTTAAAAATCCTCAAATATTCCAACAAATATGTCCAACAGCAGTCAAATACTGTATTCCAGTATTTTACTCATCAAGGAATACAGTAATATGTAGGGAGGCCCTTTCCAAGATTGATTGTACACAACGTTTTATTTGGTTACACAACAGTTTTCTGTTTATTTGGTTACATACTAGTTTGAACACACACACACCCCACCAAAAAAAACCAACAGACATCGCCTGCCTGCACAATATATTTAAAAACCATTGCCTGAGAACCAGTTCTTTTATTTCATTAAGCCTTACCATGACCTGCTGACATTTTGATAACCAGTTCAACATGTCCATGTAAATTTCAAGTATTGATACTGTGCAGCATGCAGGTACTCTCAGGACTTGAAAAGTCCTTTAATTTTAGAGTTCATCTTAAAAAAGAAATAAATCAGGATTTGTCTCGAAATAAACAACAGGACATGAAAGGACCTTGAATTACACCCTTACTACACATCAATCTTTTTTATTACTATTAATATACAAAACACAAAATTGCTTGTGAATGTCTGTGAAGGTGTGCAATAATGCTGCCTGTTAAGTAATTTAGACTTTGTATCTGATCTTGCAACCTCATTTGCGTGATGATTGCTTGAGTGTTCACATTTCCCTTTAATTTGACAACAATTGCCTTGAATTTGTATGGTCTGGAACTGGTATGTTCAACTTGAACAAAGCTTGTCAGTGTAGATAATCTTCATTGTGTTACAACTGCAGACAGAAACTGCTCAGTCCTAACTGTTGATCATGTCCGGTCAAAATTTAAGAATGTCCGGACAATACCTTTTAAAATGTCCGGACAGAAAAATTTAAATGTCCGGCAAGCAATATTTTAAACCGGACATTTGAGATTCCTCATCGGACATGTCCGGCGCATATGACGGTTTCCGGACCCCTGTGTTCAAGTAAAGGGACATATAAATACTCACCGACAAAGGAAATGTGAATACCATACATGTTAGTTAATATATGAAGAATTACTCATATTCAAGAGATATTAGATTGGTGGTTCGATGCACCAATGAACATACTGTTATGTTGCGTGAACCGACGCTCATGAATGCATCACGTGATGTCGTGGATCCATGACTCGAGATGCACCATTTGTCTCGTGCAGGATTAACGTGTAAAGTTTGGAAATCATGTGCAGCATATCGTGATAAGAATAAAACAGTCACGACAGTGGTAACACTTGACTGATTGTTAGTTTGTCATTTAGTGGTACATTAACATACATACTTCTCTATACATTCCTATGGTTTGCGTTTCTTTTGGTGATGAATATGTATATGATTATGATATTGTTGTCTCAAGGGGCTCCCAGTGCATACTATGTGCATGCGTTCTAAACCTTTGCACCAATAGGACACATCATTTGGTAAACATGTTCATTTGAAGCTTGCAAGTTAAATTTAACTGATATTCCAATTCTGATAAGAAATACAATCAAAGTTGAGACTGTCAGTGTTATGTTGCTGGACTGGTAGTTTGTGTGTTCAGTGTCCGAAATAGCTGCCTGCCTGCCTGCCTCTGGCTGGTAACATTTCTGTCAGTTAAGATTTAGTGAACATTTGCTTTACTGCATTTTGCAATGGATGTCACTCTGTGTTACCCGTTATCCTTGTCTGGTTATCTGTTTGTTTGCTTATGAACTTTTAAAGTGTTTGTCTGATACCACAGGACCCGTGAAGATCGGGGGTAGAATAGGTCTTCAGCAACCCATGCTTGCCGTAAAAGGCGACTAACTTGCTCAGGTGATCGGGTGGTGACTCGCTGACTTGGTTGATGCATGACATCGTATCCCAATTGCGATGCTCATGATGTCAATCACTGCATTATCTGGTCCAGACTTGATTATTTACAGACCGCCATCATGGGGCTGGAATATTGCTGAGTGCAGCGTTAAACAACAAACTAATCTGATACCACAGTGATGATATGTCTTTAACTCCAGCATGTATACACAAATGTGGGTCTGCAACTATCAAGGTGGGCTAGTTACAGTCATGAGTCACCAGTAGGGGTGACTCTTGGAGATGTTTTCACTGTTGGGATTGTATTGTGGCCCACAATATTGCAGTAATATTGTTATGGCAGTAAACCAAATTTAAGGCTTGAAAATTATTACAATGTAATAATAATCAATAAAGCATTGCTTACAATCAGAGACCATATACCGTTATATGGTCTCTGCTTACAATCTAATAGTCAACCATTTTCCTCCCAGTGGCAAACTGAACTCAAAGGGAAGTAACTCTAATCTGTAGTGGTCATAATCCTTGCGAACCAACACACAGGCAGGTTTAAAATTGGCATTGTATATGGTTTATAATTATAATTGCAAGTATTGAAACTATCTATTATGCATATTATTGACAATACTATCATTGTCGTACTATCAAAGTGCAAACAATTGTAATAGTTTGATTGTTTGATAACTCGCCATACTCCTAGTCACCAGCCCGCCTGGATTGTTGGGAGTAGAAATTGTTTCAGACGCTGTGTATGTTCACATGTATTGTTTTCTGTGCAGGTTTTCTCTGGTAGACTTTGGTTTGGCCCACCAAGCACCAGTGTGTCTGATGAAGAAATGCAAGACGTCTCCAAGTGTAGATGTAAAACTTGCAGACAAACATCACAAGTCAGTCCCGCTGTCTCCGTCCAAAAAATATCTTCAGGATAACAATGTCAAGGTAAGAACACGAATATACTTATATTCAGGCGAGATTTTTGTTTTATAATTGTTTCACTGATTCCACCAACACTACAAGGGGTGACAGGCAAGTGGTTAAAGCTTTGAGGCTCATAGTTGAATTAAAAAAATATGTTTTTTTTCAACTGTAGCTGTAAACATGGTAAACATCTAGTCCCCATACAAATCCTAGGCTACCCTCAGAATATTGAATGGTTGGCATTGTTAAAGAAAACAGGCTTATTGGCTGTCCCAGCAAATTTGTTCAAAGCCCTCCAAAACCCCTTTGTTTATCGACTATATACTGGTGAGAATGTATATCAATTTAGCAGTACCTTAATCACACAGACAATATCATTTATTTCTCATAGAGTAATAGGACCACCTCCATGGTCTAGTGGTAGGGCGTCCGCCCAGAGAGTGGAAGGTCTGGGGTTCGATCCCCGGCCGCGTCATACCAAAAGATGTTAAAAGATGGTACTTGTTGTTACCCTGTCTGGCACTCGGCATTAAGGGGCTAAAAGAAGGACTGGTCGACTCGGAGTCAGTATACTGTGTCTGAGTGGGGTATTCATGTTAAACTGCGGCATGATATCTCAGTGAGCTAGCACTATAAATTGGCATCAGTCCAGACTAGTACAAGCAGCCACACACAAAAGCATTTTGAGGGGTATTGCTATATGTTGTCACTATTCAGACTAGTAGATGTTCATAGTTAATATCCATCCCTGGTATTGACAATGAGACATTTAAGACTGGCACTTCTCACCCCATCCTCTGTAGACCCGTGAAGATCCGGAGTAGAATAGTTCTTCAGCAACCCATGCTTGCTGTAAAAAGGGACCATGCTTGTCGTAAGAGGGTACTAACGGGATTGGTTGGTCAGTCTCGCTGACTTGGTTGATGCATGTCATCGATCCCAATTGCGTGGACCGATGCTCATGATGTCAATTACTGGATTGTCTGGTCCAGACTCGATTATTTACAGATCGCCGTCATATAGCTGGAATATTGCTGGGTGCGGCATTAAACAACAAACAAACAAACCATCCTCTGTACCTCCACAGCTCATATTTCCGTAAACCTACACTAACCCTTGGATTTATTCCCATGGTTCTCGCAATCTCAAGTTAGCCGCCCTTTATTTTCATTAGCCAGTTTGATAATGCTACGCTCCTAAGCCTAACAGACCAATCAGAATGCGTGTTACAAACCAGCCTCAATGTTGGATTGGCGTCATCAACACCATGGCATTATTGACAGCCAGTCCCGTTTGATTGCAATAGAGTTTGCGAGAAATTCAACATTGAAAAACTGACTGACACAAAAAAGAAAGCCCTCAAGACTATTTTTGATGGAACTGATGTCTTTGTGACCATTAGAACAGGCAAGTCCCCTACCCATGTCCTTATCTCGTTTGATTGGTCAGTAAAGTGTGAGGGAAAATCAAGGGCAAGTAATTTGAGTGAGTGAGTTGGGTTAAACGCCGCTTTTAACATTATTCCAGTTATAACACGGCGTGTCAGCTTAATGTGGGAGGAAAGCCCGAAGTGATGCAGGTCTATGACGTTTACCACTTCGGTGAAACCCACGAGCACGGGTATGGTGCTTACAAACCTAGAAACATAATCGGGGCGAACCGGGATTCGAACCCACAATCATAGGTTTCTGGCGTGCCCAAGGGACGCAACTCTGCACAGCAAATCGCGGCCCCTTAGACGACTGGGCCACCCGTGCCCCCACAAGTAATTTGAGATATCGATAACCATGGAAATGGATACACGGGTTAGTGTGTGTCTACCGAAATGCAAGCCCTGGAGATAAAGAGGATGATCCCACCCCAAGAAATGATAACATTTGTATGTCTCCAGTCCCCTGCTTCTACCGACATGAAAAGGGAGCAACCGTCCGAACTGAAACCAGGCGCCAGTGGTAAACTGGCAGCACACCGACGGCAGTACACGCCGCCAACAGCAAATCTTGACATGCTTCACTTATCCAACAAAATAAAGTCTCCCCGTCGCATGCTGCTGGCCAAGAGAGCTCTGATGATAAAAGAGGGTCAGGTGTCCAGCAAGCAACGGTCGTCTTCATCGTCACGGCCGGGCAGTCAGAACACCTGTCAATGTTTTGGCCAGCCTATGGTGTGCAGTATTTGTGTTGCGAGGTGAGACTAGAAGAGAAGGGATATTCCACTAAACTTTCAAACTGATGTGATTGAATATTTGTTTCACGCTGTATATGTATTTCAGCTCATAAAAAGTGATGACAAAAGCTGAGAAAGACTTTTAGCCACCTTATTGAGGTCTCCATTTTGTTTGATGTCTTATGAAAGTAGTTGGCTTCGAAATTATGAAGTCATTGATACATCATGGTAACCAAAATCTTGTGCCAGAGCCACAGAATATATATCACTGCGTGTTAAAATTGAGGAAAAATACTTAAATGTGCGGGTTTTTGTCTATTTGCTGAAGAAATATCAGACTGAAAAAGGAATAAACACGTTTTCTTGTAGATGATGTTTTATCTATATCTGGTTTAAGTATTGAAAAACTTAAAACTAATGATGATACTGTTATGCACAACTGATACATTAAGTGATTTTCCTATAAGCCTCTATAGTGAAATGTTTGTTGGTTTGTTTGTTCTTCAACGCCGCAATCAACAATACTCCAAAGTTTCAAAATGTCAAATAGAAGTACAATGTGATGTTTGTTGGTTAACGCCGCACTCACCAATATCGCAGCTATAGGACGGCGGTCTGTAAATAATCAAGTCTGGACCAGACAATCCAGTGATTGACATCATGAGCATCGATCCATGCAAATGGGATACGATGACATGCATCAACCAAGTCAGCTAGTCTGACCACCCGATCCCGATTGTCGCCTCTTATGACAAGCATAGTCGCTTTTTACAGCAAGCATGTAGTGAACATGGTGAAATGAATTTTGGTGCAGTTGTTAAATGGTTCATCCGGCAAACAGAATGCAACGTAACCATGGTAATCCCTGTAATCTTACAAAAGGTTAAAAAGGTTAGTTGCTGCAGAAATCATTGATTATGATATAACATCAGTGATGCTGTACGATACAGGTAGTATTACTGAAATTATGCACAGCAAAGTTTAAGTTGATGATGCATGTTTTTGTTCTGTATTCTACCATATATTTGGAAAATACTCACTTCTGATTGGTCAATCACAGAAGCTTATACACATCATCAGTTCCATTACTTGATGTACACGTTGAGCGACTGTGCCTGGGTGATATTTTTTGGTAAGTTTATTGATCAAACTGAAATTGAATGCTCCCAGCAATAAGTGTTGGATAATTTTTGGGTTCCAGAAGCAATCAGACCGCCCCTCGTGCAGGAACACCTGGTTTTCGCTCGCCCGAGGTTCTCATGAAATGTCCTGACCAGTCAACAGGTATGTCGCCGAGATTCTCATGATGTTCCCTGACGCTCCTCAAAAAGAATTGAGGATATTTTGCAGAGAAATCAGTGTATGTCCTCTGCTATGAACCGACGTGAAACTTTGCTTGTATTGACATTGATGTAAAGCCCTGACTTCCAATGTTTTTCAGCTGTGGACATCTGGTCAGCGGGGGTCATCTTCATGTCTCTGCTCAGTGGCCGCTACCCTTTCTTCCGAGCCAATGATGACGTCACAGCTCTCGCACAGATCATTTCCATCATGGGCAGTGAAGAGGTCAAGGTTGCAGCGAAGACTTTCGGTAAGATCGCACCAGTCCAGCACGTCCATTTACACATGAGGGTTTATAACTGTATAAAGTTCACACCATCGACTTGAAAATCGACGTATTAAAGACCTTAAATTTGATGGCTGAAGTTTTGTATAATACCGTGGAACTGCTTTTCATAATACTGATTCTTGCATGTGGTAGCACATGTTGAACTTCCTAAAAGCACCTACATTTGGTGCCATAAAGAAATTCGGGAGACAGGCGAGAGGGTGGTTCGTCGAGCCCAGAAATGTAGCAGAAGACGATCCACTTCCCCTCCCACACTGGTCCAACCTACTCATCCCCCCTCACAGCATGTTGCCTCATCCAGTGCCAGACAGGTTTCGTCTGCACGCTTGTTTGTCTTAAAAAGGCGTTTTCGGGGCGGTCGGGTAGCCTAGTGGTTAAAGCGTTTGCTCATCACGCCGAAGACCCGGGTTCGATTCCCAAAATGGATACAATGTGTGAAGCCCATTTGTGGTGTGCCGTGATATTGCTGGAATATTGCTAAAAGCGGTGTAAAACCATACACACTCACTACATGTGGTAGCACATCTTGAAATTCCTACAAACACCTACATTTGGTACTATGAGGAAATTCGGGAAAATCTGTTATTTAATCTTATTTAATAATTAAACGGCGTCTGGTTCTTGTTTATCATACAATAAAAACTGCAGGGAGAATAAACCATGAGGGGCGCAGCAGTGTTTTATTGTCCACTAAACAACGACAACGAGTCGATTATTTCTTATATGAGATATCCACATCATCTACTGCCTCTGTAAGGATGTTGATAAAACTTACAAGCTTTAAAATTATGTACCCAAATCTTAATCATGTTAATAATGATGACTCCCTGGATAGAATCCAACCTCAGAAATGTCGGACAAGTCAGTTTTACGATCAGGTGGGTTAAGTTTGGTATTTCCCACATATTTTCACAATCATTACATCGATCATCTGTCCCTTTCCTCCTAATACCGATTGTCATATCTCTCCCGCTTTTGGATGCGATGGTTCTGCCACTGCGTTTATCTGTGTAGCCCAGCTACATCTATGGGGAAGAACTTACTCGTCACTTTCCTCTCAAAATTAACGTCGTCCAGTATCTGGCGTCATCAAGTTGCGAGCGCATATTCAAATCTCCTGAAATGTTTCATCGTTCACTGTTTGCAATTTATCGCGTAGCTATCTTATATGACAGGATATTGCCAATGTTTCAGCCACATAGCAATGTGAAGGAGCTGACACAAAGTACCGTATTCGACATTATAAGCGCCCCGCTCTAATAAGCGCCCACAGCGATATTTGCTAATATATTGGCTAGTGAACAATCCCAATTACACACCTTCCGATTGATCAATGTACAAAAGACTTATTTATTTGCGTATAATATGCACTCGTGTGTTATATGCACCTTTAATTATGGGCAATTAAATTCTGGAAAAATATATCTGTCGTATATAAACATTTCAGGCTGTCAGCATAAACCACGAAATTTATCTTTTTCACCAAAATAATCTTCTTATAAGAGCCCCCTATTTCTAATTTTGAGAGCGCCCTGGGCGCTTATTACGTCGAATACGGTATGTAAAATTTATGTTGTACAGAGTAGCAACTGTGAGATCCCAGTGATACATACCTGATCCCCACTGATTGTTGTTCCAGGCAAACACCTCACCTGCAGCCCCGTAACACCGGCAGTGGACCTGAAACGACTGTGTGTGAAGCTTAGGAGCGCCCCCAGTCTCGCTGCAGGGAACCAGGCACAGAAGAATACTCACATTCCAAACAAAGAGAATTCTACAGATTTGTGGGAAAATATTTCTGACTGTGGTTTTGATTTGCTTAAAAGTTTACTTGACCTTAATCCTGCAACAAGAATAACTGCTGAAGAAGCCCTAAGACACCAGTTCTTTGTAGACTGATGGAGTGTTTGTTTCTTTATGGCGAATGGATGAAGTTGGCCAATAAAATTATGTGATTACCTCTCGAAGCAAAAAGATGATTCTCAACCATGAAAGGGGGCCATTCCACCATCAATAGGAGGCCATATCACCATCAAAATGTGGCCTCTCCACTGGCAGAACGAGTGTGGTATCATGTTTATGATTCAAAAGGAGGCCATCCACTGGCAAAAGGCGGCGTCTCCACCGACATGAAGAAGTCCATCTTCTGTGAAAATGGCGGCCTCTCCACTGTCATAAGTAGGCTCTTTACTGTAGCCATAGGGACTATTGTTTTAGTGTGCCATCTTTATGAACATATGATAAATTATATGGCTGAAATCAGCTGACATACTTTAAAGTGACATTACATATTTTGATGATTCAACGAAATAATGTTAGCAAATGTTCCCAAATGTCAGTCTTTTGTCAGATATTATTGTGATATATATTTATAACAATATTTGAAAAAGGACATTGTTGGTCATGTTTCTAGGTATTGTAAGCTACTACCGTCATCCAATGTATATTCTTGTGTGGCTATGAATTGATTTCTCTGATTTATTGATTTTTGTAAAAATTTGTGATAGGAAAGAGTTTTCCAAGTTAACTTAGACACAGTTAAATCCCTTTTAAGTGCCTGGATCCAATAATCATGTGTTTGAATCCAAGCTTGGCCCTTATTATGATTCTTGGTTTGTCAGCACCATATCAATGCTCATGATGTCAATCACCAGATTGTCTGGTACAGACTGTTGTTTACAGACCCTGGTCATCTATCTGGAATATTGCTTAGTGCGGCGTTAAACAACAAACAAACCATACTAGTGGGTGGTCTGGTTTTCACCAATACCAATTTCAAATTGCCTTAACATTAAGCTGACACTGTGATATAACTCAAATAATACTTAAAAGAAGTTAAAGAACACACAATTTTTTCATATGACTGTGCTTAAATTTTCATGACGATATATGTGTACAATTTAAATTTTATACTACTTAAAAGAAGTTAAAGAACACACGACAGATTAACTAGAGTCAAATGCATGTTTTTTACTTCTTTTTAGTAGTACACAATTTATTTTTGAGGTGGGGCTGTGGTATGTCTGAAAACTAAAGGAAGTAATTTTTTTATCTAACAATTTCAGAAATGCTCCCTCAATCTGGGTTGATAATTTTTTTCTGATCTGTGGAAATCCACGGAATTCGTTACCTCAAGGGTAATTTTTGTGATACCTGCCATTATAATATACAGATTTGTTGACATGGTATTTCCAGTGTTACGTGCTCACAGTTATGCCTGTGTTGGGGGGGAAAACATCAAAACTCTTCAACCCTGTGTATAAGACGACCACCCTTGAAAGCCCCCTATTTCAAGGTACGAAAAACTTGCCTTATACACAGCGATATACGCAACACATAAGTCATATTGTTCCAAGATCTAGGCTAACTTTCAGTGTGTGTGTTTTGAGGTTTTTTTTGTTGAAAAAACCCATTCTCATCCCCGTTTAATCCCACTTCCCCCTTGTGTGATGATTTAAATTATACATAAATTCCTTGTTTAATGTTTTTGCATGATCATGATTATAGTTGTGTTAACATGATTAGTACATCATATCACCTTTTGAATGAAATTAAATGTGTCTAAAATTGTCTGACAAATAGTTGTGAAAAGGAGGTGTTAATATTTTGGATTATTTAATATTATTTAAAATGAACAAATTTAGCATATTTATGATTATGTATGATAATGAATGTACCTGTGAACATAAAATATATGACATCTGAATAAACAAACAACAAACTAGTTTTGTCTTCTGTTGTCTCTTAGGCCTTATATTTTTTGTTAGTTGCATCTTATTATGCGTTGCTGAAGACAAATTCTAACCCTGATCCTCAGGGTGTCATGTTAGGACAGTGGAGAGTGTGTTACTGGGGTTAATGCCGCTTTGAACACTGTTCTACTCATATCACGGTGTGTCAGCTTAATGTTGGAGGAAAGCCGGTAGTGATGCAGGTCTCAGATGTTGACCACTTGACTTGAGTGAAACCCACGAGCACGGGTATGGTGCGAACAGGATTTGAACCCAAGGTAATACGTTCCTGGCTAACTCAAAGGATGCAACTCTGCACGATGGGGCCACCCAATACAGTGACGAGATGATCAGAAGGATACTTCAAGTCTCAGTACATGTTGTATATATACAGTAATGGTTTGGAAGCCCTCTCGAAGACTATATATAATGTTTTTCCATCTCCAGTTTGTAGTTGGGGTTCACTAGGGACTTTGAAATATGAAAAGGTTTTCACATCAACCTAATGCCGCAGCCTTTAGACTCTAAAGGATACACTTAAGCTTGCACAACGAATACAGAACAATAATGCAGAGCTCGTGTTCTTTCGAAAAATGTTCAAAATTCACGTCTCGAAATCAGGATTAAAGGTGTGAATCTTTTATCGTAACTTAATATACCATTGGGTCAATCATACTAAAAAAACATTTCGCTGTGACAATTTTGGCATTCTATTAAATGTTCCTGAATATATGTAGTGGACAGAGCGTCTGCCGGGAGAGCGGAAGGTGGATGGTTCGAATACCCACATACAGTAAAATACGTTTATAACGAACACGCTTATAACGAACTGACGGATATTAAGAACTTAATTTTTGGTCCCGGACATTTGCTGTATAGATGTATATATGCTTATAACGAATTGCGGTTATAACGAACTAAAACTAGTGGTCCATTTGAGTTCGTTATAACCATAGTTTACTGTATATATAGCTTCTGTTTTATTCAGTAGGAGTCCATACACTAAGGGGAACATGTGTCCTTCGAACTAATGATGGACGAAGGCCGTAGATCTGCTCAAATAGGCGTGGAGCAGTAGACCATGTAGAGTCGTGGTCGGACCTCTTCGCCGCCTTCGCCTTCGGGGGGCGGTCGGGTAGCCTAGTGGTTAACGCGTTCGCTCGTCACGCCGAAGACACGGGTTCGATTCCCGACATGGGTACAATGTGTGAAGCCCATTTCTGGTGTCCCCCCCGTGATATTGCTGGAATATTGCTAAAAACGGCGTAAAACCATACTCAGTCAGTCAGTCGCCGCCTTCGGTGTTGGAGAAGTTGTCTTTAAGCTTTATCTCGGGACGGAGGTCAGGAAGACTTGGGGTGGTCTTGTGGCGTTGTCTGTAAAGCATGGTCTTCATGGAACTGAAGGACAGAATCTCCCTCAGCAATACCTCTGAAACAACTTCCTGGTGACGTCTTAGTGTTGATATTTCATCTCCATAGATGGTAGGGATGAGCGTCGTTTCTGTTTTCGGCATGTAGACGTATGGCCTTGAATGCAGCTACTTCCATCTGAAATGGTTCAGCAGGATGAGTGTTGGCCAGCTCTTCAACCTTGTGGATTCTGTCTTCACGGATGGAAAGGTGTGCAGTACACCCGACGACAACACATCTCAAACACCTTGTTTCATCATGTACGCTTTTGCAACGAAATCTATACCCGCCATAGTACATTTGCTGTCTGCCTCTCACACTCTCTATTAAAGTCACTGTCACTTGCGCATTTTGCAGATTTGGTGGTATTGTTATTATTGTTGTTGTTTTTGCTTTAGGTGTTTAAGAGGTCGCCTTCTGCCATAGCAATTTCTGCTGACCTGTCCCTCTTTGGGACTCATGTGTGAGTACTGAGTAGTGTACACATATTTATCGTATCTATCGAGTTTAAGTATTAATAAAAAATCTGTTTTTCTATTGATAAGATTTCTGTTTTTGTATTTTGATTTGATTTCAATTGTTATCTTTGGCGTGCTCTTTTTATATACGTTCGAGTAGCTTTCTATCTCTCAGACATAGTTAGTTTGGCCTTCGCTGTTGCAACTCTTGGCTTTCTGAGATCTACAACAGATAGGGCATCTAACTGCAATTCTTGTTTTAACCTAGCCTGGGCTGGGGCATGGTCTTGACATTCCAGTAACAAGTGAGCAATGGATTCATGCTGATTGCATGATGGACAAACCATGTCATAGTGCTTCTTGTGACCGAGTCTAAGGCGTGAGATGGCTACTTCAACTTTCCTTTCATTTGAGTATGAGTATGGCCTTTTGTTGATCTGCCGATCTTACTTGCGTCCCACTGGGCTTGCCATTCTTGGGCTATGGAGGCTTTGATTTTGCTTTTTATCTCTAGTTTACAGAAGGGAATAGGAATAATGATATATTCGTTATTAGCGGAGATAGATCATTATCCCTTCAGTCCTTGAGTGCATTCTATTAATTTGTCATCAAGATGGAGGACAGCCTTAACACCAGGTTACCCTATCATGGACAAGAAGATTCGTGTTAACATTGACGTCGGGTATTTTATGTGTTGGTTTCCCAGATTGGCAGATTTCTGATCACAGAAATAAATAAAGGGAAGAAAACTCTGCAATAACGCCCTAACATTATTGACAATGTTGTGAAATGACCTTATTATATTCTATATTATGATGTTTAGGGCTGTTACTTTGCAGCCTACCCGTGAAGATCCGGGTTAGCATTGTTCTTAAGCAACCCATGTCTGTCAGAAAAGGCGACTATGCTTGTCGTAAGAGACGACTAACGGGATCGGGTGATCAGACTTGGTTGATGCATGTCATCATATCTCAATTACGTAGATCGATGCTCATGGTGTCAATCACTGGATTATTTACAGATTTAGTGTGATGCTAAACAAGAAAGAAATTTGCAGCCTGTACGACTCTTGAAGTTACAATGCTCCCATACAAGCCAAGCAACATAATCGATTGGAACATAATCGATTGAAAATACTTCATACTACTATATATTTCATTGGTTGTTTGACCGCGACAGTCAGGTGTTCGCTGGCAATGTACACTGACAAATTTGTAATAGGAGGATCACATTAATATTCATTATTAAACGGGAGCGTTGTCTTTTACGTGTCCGATATCAATCGTTGTTTACAAGTGTCTTATTCCTCATTTGTACTGTGACACAGACTCAGTCTTTGAATGTTTGAGCTGTCACAGATCTGGGATGTCTCTGAAGTTTACATCTTAAGTAAGGAGGGTTTTGTGCTCATTAAAGAGAGAACACACAAGAAGGCTTCACTAAAGCGCACGTGGGGAATCGATTGATCCATGGCCTTTGTCGTGACGAGTAAATTCAAAACGTCAACGCGTGAGAATATTCACCTTTTATGATTGTATTCTGTTGTTCTTTCTCAACAAGGTACAAAATTAACAAGCACAAAATACTCATATCACCCGCCAATATGACATGCCCGGTTGTCTGCAAGGCAAGAAATATAGTACGGTTTTTAAGACCTGCCCGGAAACGAGTACTACCGCCACTTTCAGTCTAAGTCAAAGTCGTTGCATTTGACACACGAAAAATATTTTTTTCAAACATCCAAATTATCAAAAGGCACCAGTCCAACTAGACCTATCTTTGCGCCAAGTTTGGTAAAGATATCTTTCATGTTTTTTTTTAGTTCTGCTCCGGAAACGAAACGTGATATCCCCTATATCCCCCTTTCACTTCGTGGCTTAGGGACAATATTTGTACAAATATCTTAAAAGCTGGTAGCAACTAATTCCGAGATGAATATGTTCTAAGAACATGTACGCTTGAATAAAATAATTATGATCCTTGGCCAAAGTGTAACGCTTCAATGCCCTTAGTGCATCTATTCGTACTTTCTGCTGGCAAAGTAATTAGAAGCGAACGCACCCGAAACGCCTCAACTCCTCGGATGTCACATAAATATTCATCATAAACCGCGAGTGTGGTCTTCCATGTGTCTTATTTCAAACGTTTTGTTTGTTTGCTCCACAATAGTCCAGCTTCATGTATGTGAGCTGTTGACACGATGACACCAAGGCAACTAGCCTGTCGACAGGATCCAAATGGTAGCTTCTTCCGACCAGCAGCGGTTGAGGATAAGGTTTTTAAAACCCTGAATCCAGATGGGTAATAATAAGTGTTCAAAACGATTGTCTGGATATCTTTATTTTCATTAGGACAAATCAAAATAACTGTGTATTGTTTACTTGTATAAGAAACCATGATGATGCCAACCATTCCACAAAATTTACATACGAACCTGATTGCTTCAATGCGCTGCACGGCGATGCGCGAAAAGAGACTAAAATGACCAAACCGGAAGTTCAGTTCGGCACGCGCTTAATTAATGGGTATGTCATTTATAGTCACATCGGCAGTTGTTAAAGTATTGTGACTTAACAAGATACATATGTTGAAATAAAATAATGAGGGAGACGTAATCTTGATATCAAATTCGATTAGTGGGAATTGTAGCTGATACCTCAATTTGACGAAGGAGTTGTTAAAGTAATCGGTTTTTACTTGATGGTAAGATATTTTAACATGAATTTGAAAAATACTCGATTTTGATTGGTCAGTCAGAAGTTTCAAGCCAGGATCAATCCCCTCTGAAACAGCTGGTTTGGCTGACACTTTACCGCGCACTGATATGCATCTGCACTTAGTGTTTTCCCTTCAGATAGTCTTCAGATATGTTTTAAAGATTTCAGTCGAATAAACACGTAGACGACATTTGCTTGGCTTCGCCGGAAGTAGCTCTTGGTCGAGTGGATTATGACTCAAGGGGGCATAGGAATATTCAAATTGAAGTTCTCAGTGACATATCTCAATGAGGTAGTATTTAACAATTAAACATAAGATAGTCACTTGAATAATTAGAAACATTGTTATACATGTTTGTTTTCTGTTATATATTTTATGTTAGCATTATATGGAAAAGTATGGGAA